CTTTAGAGACAAAACAAAGCTGTTTGAAGTATAATTGTTTAGCCTTATCACCCAAATAATCAGTAGTCACAGCTTCTTTCCTATGTAAACATGTCATGGGTAGCTCCTATTTCTAAGAAAGAAGCTCTGCATTTGTAGTACTGAGTGAATCTGAAGGAGTTTATACTTTGTACATATATGTGCCATGGCTGTAAGCTGAAGAATATGGCCATTTCACAAATTCTTTAAAAATGACTGCTATAGTTTTTTTATTTGTATATTTCATGAGTGATCCTCTGTGTAACATTTCATGGCTTTTCCCACCTACATCACACCTGATCATTATACATTATAGCTTTTTGTTAAGAAAAAGTCTCCAGCCAGGCGTGGTGTTACACATCTTTAATTCTAGTGCTTGGGAGGCAGAGGCAGGAAGATCTCTGTGAGTTCGAGGCCAGCATGAGTTCTAGAACGCCCAGAGCTACCTAGTGAGACCCTGTATCCAAAACAAACAAACAAACAAACAAAAAACAATAAATAAAGGAAAGAAAGGGAAAGTCTTTCGGTTAAAATAATTGAAAACTTTTAAAAATGTGTCTGTCTCACTAGGCTGGTAGCATTTTGCCTATAGTCACAGCTACTTAGGAGGCTGAGGCAGGAGGTTCACATGAGCCAGGAATTCAATGCTAAACTGTGTCTGGACAGCTTAGTGAAATGATTTAAAAAACACCCCACCCAAAAAAAAATAACCTCCATATCCTTCCTAAGAAATTTATAATGGACATCGTTTTCTGAATTATTTAAGGAAATAGCTCTTTTGGAAGACATTGACCCAAAATGCACTTGACTTCAATTCAGAAATAGAAAAAAAAATTAAATTTTTCCTTTCTCACTTCAAACTTAGGTTTTAAAAACACCCGCATGTATGGGGTGTCTTCTAATCACTTTGAAATTACACTAAATAAAAAAAAATCTACATTAAGGAATTAATTACACATATGCAAGCCTTAGGAAAATAATTTTAGATAGAATGAAGTCTAAGATTTGAGACCCAACAAACTGCCTTCCTCACAGGTACTTTTAACATTGTTCTTTTGTCTTTTTGAAGATTTATTTATTATTTATGCCATAGGTGTTTACTTGCATGAGTTTATGTGCACCATATTGCTTGCAGGAACCCTTGGAACCCAGATTTGCTGGAACTGGAGTTATAGGTGGCTGTGAGCGGCCATGTGGACGCTGAGAACCAAACATGTTTCCTCTTAACCTCCGACCTATGTCTCCTGCCCCTCAGTATTGTTTCTTGTAAATGATGCTTAATAACTTTCTATCTATTGTTGTTATTAATCTGTCATTTTTACAGGACCTGTTCTCCCTCCTTCAGGGCTCTGTTTTGTAGAACTTAAACTTACTTTGACATTCTGAGATCATTACAAGTTATTTTTAGTACCAGACTGTCTACCTTGCTCCAGTGTGCCTTCCTCAATTTAATGTTTCTGGTTAGACTGAAGCTGTTTGTATCTTGTGTCCCATTTTGCTTTCCATACTGATGATGTGTAAAGACTCTGGAGTGTAAGAGAAGCCAGTGAAATTTTTTCTGCTCTGGTGACATTCAGCATGGTCATGGGCTCTGACCTTTATGAGGAAGCAGTTCGGAATTAGCATTTCTGTGGGGATGATGCCTTTCCTTAAAAGAACCCCCTGTGTTGGATCTTGGACCACTCCCTTCCAGCATCCACAAAACATTAGTAGATTTAGCCACTGATGTTTATACCATAATGTGTAAGAACCAAGGATAAGCTGAAGTGTGTTTCCATAAATGGTAAGGTAGCTCTGTGTATACTGCATAGGAAGTTGCTGAACTTCATATCTTAAACTACTAACCCAGCATTTAGGAGGCACATGAAGGAGGATCTCTCTCTGAGTCCAGGCCAGCCTGAGCTGTATGCTGAATTCAAACTAGCCCAGGCTTTCAAAAAATAAAAGGTCAATAGTTATTTGTGACCTCAAATAAAAGGTTGCAAATGCCTAATAATTGGTATCAAAGCAAGCAGATGTATGACAAGGTTTGTTGGACAGGAAGGGCCAAAACTTGATTTCACACATGTAACAGAGTCTTGCTGTATAACCCATATAATCCATGCTGGCCTTTAAACACTCACAATCCCTGAGGTGATAGTGGCACACACCTTTAATCCCAGCACTTGGGATTGCAAAGGTAGGCAGATCTCTGTGAGTTCAAAGCCAGCCTGGTCTACAAAGCAAATTCCAGCACAGCCAGAACTATTACTTAGAGAAACCCTGTCTCCAAAAACAAACCAAACAACCAAACAAAAGCCTCACAATCTTCCTGCCTCCGCCTCCTGAGTGCTAGAATTGAAGGCCTGGCTGAGAGCATGCGTTCTTGCACGCTACTTGGTCTTTTTCAGAAATCAGCATAATTTATATAAAACCCCTTTAACTGTGTTAAGTTATTTCTGGTTTCTTTCTCCTCTGTCCTTTTAAGCACTGAAAACTCTTGATTATCTACTCTCTAGAGGGAATTGTACCCTGGCCTTCACAGTAATAGGAATGTCATGCAACTTTTTGTGAGTTTAGTGTGAGTTTTACGTTAAAAAACCTATTTCCAGTTGCGTCCTTGCGTCATGTTCTGATCTATATATTCTGTTACATCCTTTTAAGTATAAGCTCCAAATTTTAAAGGCAGCCTCACTGGTTCGAGGAAACTAAGAACATTTGTGCTATTGTTTGAGCCCTTGCTGTCTTAGTAGTCTGGGGGCAGATAATATCTGTCTATTCCCATACCTCCATTCTCCTCCCTGGTACTAGGTGAAATTATGTACACCGGTATATATATGTTTTATATATATATATATATATGTGTGTGTGTGTGTGTGTGTGTGTGTGTGTGTGTGTGTATGTATACATGTATGTATGTAAACATTTTATTTTAACGTTCTCTACAAGCTGCCATGAGGTTCTGTTGGGTCTGCCCACCTCTCTGAAAGGTTCAGCTCTTCTTTTTTCTGACGTTGGCCAGAGCCTAAGTATGCTTTTTCTGGTACTTCAGGTTTTCTTACTCTTTCTCAAAGTCTCCCTTCCCACTGTGTAACTCAAATGGCATGGGTATTTTTTTCCTTCTCCATTCTTTTCCCCAAAGTAGCCACTGAGATTTACAGGTTGCCTGCCCTAGGATTTTTCTTTTAAACTCTAATAAAATTTAAAAATAAAAAACCTTAAAGAAAAGAATTCTCCTCTCCATTTTTTGTTTGTTTTTGATGGTTTTTTTGTGGGGGACGGGGGTGGTGGTGGTGTTATTGTTACTTTATTTTGTTTTTCTGAGACAGAGTTTCTCTGTGTAGACCTGTCTGCCCTGGAACTCAACGCTGTAGACCAGGCTGGCCTCGAACTCAGCAATCCACCTGCCTCTGCCTCCTGAGTGCCGGGATTAAAGGATGCTCCACCACACCTGGCTTATTATTGTAGGTTTTTATTTTGTTTCATTTTTACTTTTAGCTACCATCCTTTTTCTGTCTCCTGCTTCCAAAACTTCTTTTCAGAACCTAATCACATGTTTTCAGATCAATGAAAAGCTGTTTCCATCATTTATGATGGTAAGCACATTGTGCGGGATGAGACTAGCCATCCATGGATTCGTGGAGTGCAGGAACTGTGCCTTCCCTGTTTTCATCCTCTTAGTCTCAGCCTGGTGTTTGGCAGAAGCTGCCCGGAGTGTTTCAAGCAGAGATAATCAGTACATTTTACTCTTAACTTTGTAGCAACAGACTAATCATTGTGAAGAACATAACTTTTCATCATGAATTCATGTTTTTCTGAACAATCTTCCTTATGTAACAGAAAAAGTTTGTGTATAACCACTTGCATGATTTCTATAAATTCTTCCTCTCCCCTCCCTACCTCTGTGCGTGTGTGCGTGTGTGCGTGCGTGCGTGCGTGCGTGCGTGTGTGTGTGTGTGTGTGTGTGTGTGTGTGTGTCCTCTGTGGGCATGTAGAGGCCAGAGCAGAATGTGGACTGTTTTTCTCTATTGCTCTGTGCCTTACTGTTGAGATAGAATCTTGTGCTGAACTAGAGGCTGGCCGTTTTAGCTAGGTTAGCTACTTGGGATCTACCAGGATCTGGCTCCCAATGCTAGGTTTACAAGCACACACTGCCGTACCCAGTCTTTTCTGTGGGTGCTGGGGACTTGAACCCGGGTCCTCATGCTTGTAGAGCAAGCACTCTTACCCACTGAGCCATTTCCCCAGCCCCGATTTATGTAAATTCTTGAGTGACCCTCCTTTGGGAAATTGGTGTAGTTTCCTTCATTTAAGAGAAACATTCTTTTATTATTAGATGGGAGCTATGATATTTGTATCATAACTTTTTCAACAACAGACTTCTGTAATTAGATGTTTTATTTGAAACATTAAGTTGTCCCATATGTTTAAATAAAGAAAGGACATGATTCATTTTTTATCACAGAAGGAGCCTTTAAAAATGTTGCACAGATTTGTCAAATGTATTTCTGTAGAGATAAGAACTACATACATGGTTTTTAAGCATTGATTAGAACTCCTGTGGCTTACAAGGGTATGGTTTAGCAATCAATCAACTTTATATTTAATGAATGATAAAAAAGACATTCTTGGTGCTGGTGAGATGCCTTAGTGGGTGAAAGCACTTTCTGTGCAAGCATGATGATCTGGATTCGATCCCCAGGCCCCACATGGTAGGAGAGAACTGACTTCTGAATGTTGTCCTTCGGCCTCCTTATGTGTGCTGTGGCATACACTTGTTCACACTCACATACATGCAAAACACTTGTGTTCATTTTTTTTTAATTTAAAAGGAAATGTTGATTGTTCTGTTATCGAAAGATATCTTTATGGTGGGAACCTATAAAAATAACCAAGAATTCTTCATTGTAATCTGAATGCTATTAAAACCACACTAGCAAAATTTGAGTAATTGAGTGGCCAAGATCTTAAGTTAATTTCCTTTCTCTCTTTCTCTCTTGTAGAACTGCCAGTGCATGGCCAGCATTCCTGGTGGTTGATAATGTTGGAAATCAGCTGTTCAACCTTCTCCAGCATTCAGTTGTTAAAAATGAATAGAATGCAAGTTCAGCTCCACATTATGAAAACAGTACTCGGAAAACTGAAAACTATCTAAATGATTGTCTTTGGTTGGGCTGTGTTCTTAGCAAGCAGAAGCCTTGGTCAGGGTCTGCTGTTGACTCTCGAGGAGCACATAGCCCACTTACTGGGGACTACAGGTGCCACTACTGCTATGGGTAATTCCTGTATCTGCCGAGATGACAGTGGAGCAGAAGACAGTGTTGATGCCCACCAGCAGCAGGCCGAAAACAGCGCAGTCCCTACTGCTGACACTAGGAGTCAACCTCGGGACCCCGTTCGGCCTCCAAGGAGAGGCCGAGGACCACATGAGCCAAGGAGAAAGAAACAAAATGTGGATGGGTTAGTGCTGGATACACTGGCAGTGATACGGACTCTTGTAGATAAGTAAGTATCTGACTCACCATCGCCACCAGTGTCACGGAAAGTGTTCTGCCAGGAACCACCACTTTGGAACTCCTTCCATTCATTTAAGATAACATTTGCCAAGCCTTGTGCTCCTAGGCTAAGAGAGAACACTTACTTCTCCTCTGATGGTGGAGTAAATAAGGTTGGATGATTTTACTTGCTGTCATCTACTTCTGTCTAGAAAAATTTGAATATTTCTGTACAGAAAACTCATTGAAAATATGGTCTTATATATATATATATATATATATAGATATATTTATAATTAACTTAATTTCACATATCAGCCATGGATTCCCCCGTCCTCCCTCCTCCCACCTCCCAGCCCTCCCCCCCAATCTACCCCCATTCCCACCTCCTCCAAGGCAAGGTCTCCCCTGGGGAGTCAACCCAGCCTGGTAGACTCAGCCAAGGCAGGTCCAGTCCCCTCCTCCCTACACCAAGGCTGAACAAAGTGTCCCAGCATAGGCCCCAGGCTCCAAAAAGCCAGCCCATCCTCCAAGGACAGGTCCTGGCTCCACTGCCTGGGGGCCTCCCAAACAGTTCAAGCTAATCAACTGTCCCACTTATCCAGAGGGCCGGGTCCAGTTCCATGGAGGCTCCTCAGCCATTGGTTCACAATTCATGTGTTTCCACTAGTTTGGCTATTTGTCCCTGTGCTTTTTCCAATCATGGTCTCAATATCTCTCGCTCATACAATCCCTCCTCTCTCTCGCCTATTGGACTCCCGGAGCTCCACCTGGGGCTCGGCTGTGGATCTCTGCATCCGCTTCCATCAGTCACTAGATGATAGTTCTATCATGACAGTCAGGGTGTTTGGCCATCTGATCACCAGAGCAGGTCAGCTCAGACACTCTCTCGACCATTGCCAGTAGTCTACAGTGGAGGTATCTTTGTGGATTTCTGGGGACCTCTCTAGCACTCTGCTTCTTCCTATTCCCCTGGGGTCTTCATTCATCATGGTATCTCCCTCCCCATTCTCCCACTCTGCTCCTGATTCAGCTGGGACCTCCCGCTCCCCTAAGCTCTCTTTCCCCCGACCCTTGCCCTCCATTAACACCCTCCACATACACACATCCAGTTTGCTCATGTAGATCTCATCCATTTCTCTGTCATTGCAGAAAATATGGTCTTTATGAAGGAGTACAGTAACCTTGGAGTTAAGTTGTGTTAATTGCTGTAGTAGAAAATTAGGAATGCTTTCTTGAGGATCCATTACTGTTCTTGCCAATCTCTTCTGCTGACCATATATTCAAGATGAGTAGTCTTACCAAGAGTATAGCTGCATGCAACTTCTGTGGGCAGTTAAAGAGAATTTTACCTTTCTCTCCTGTTTTATTATTTCTTTTTTAGCCTATTAGATCCATTTGAGGAAATTGTAAGTTGAAACTGCAGGGCACACCTGGGCCTGTGATTTCTTTCTCCTACTTTGTCTAAAGACAAAAATCTCAGTTTGAATGACAGTGAAATTAAAGGATATTTTTCAGATTGAGAAAAGTTCAGTGTAAGGTTTAGTAAGTGCCTAAGTTTTAGACCACAAAGGACCTAGATTCAGATTCTTTTTCATTACTAGCCTTATGACACTGAGCAAGGTACTTCTCTAATCCTTTTTTTTTTTTTTTTAAAGTAAGAATTATTATTCTGGGGGCTGGAGAGATGACTCAGTGGCTAAAGAGTACTGGGTTTTCTTCCCAAGGACCCAGGTTCAATTCCTAGCATCCACATGGCAGCGCACAACTGTCTGTAACTCCAGTTCCAGAGGATCTGGCACCTTCACACAGATATACATGTAGGCAAAACACTAACGCACATAAAATAAATAAATCTTTTTAAAAAAACTCAATAATTAAAAGAATTACTATTATTGTATAGTTTGTATAAATGGTCTAATATGGTGCCTTATATTAGAAAAAAAGAAATACTCAAAAGATAGTAGTCATTTTGAGTTTCTACTTTAGGCCCTGGTAGAAAATATCTAAGTATTTAATAATCACACTAATAAAAGCAGTTTTGTTTAGTTCTTTAAACATGATAAAGAAAAAAACCACTATACACCTAAAATATACAAGCAAATCCTTAGAGCTATATTAGAGTCTTCCACACAGTACTGAAGTGTTTGTTGATCTCCAAGAATAATAATTTTGGGGGTTAGGGATATTTCACAGTGGTTAGAGCACTTGACTAATATTCATTAAGCTCTTAACTAGATTCAACCTCCAGTAGCACACTCACAAAAAAAGAATCTTTCTTTTAAAAGTTATTCTTCATAGTATATAATTACAATAGAAAATTATCCTTTCCAAATTAGGAAGTAAACCACAACAATGTTAAATTAAACACATTGGGGAAAAAAAGGAGGGGGGTGCAGTGTAGTTTTTGCTGTATTTTAAAGGCAATAGGAGCAAGCCTTAGTTGCCACTTCTAAGCAAACATTACAAATTGTAAGTGTTGTTGTTAATCAAGCTCCTAATTCACATAGGAGAGGCAAGTGCACCTTTAATGCCAGCAGAGGCAGGTGGTGACTCTCTCTAATCCCAGCCAGGGCAGGTGGATCTCTGAGTTTGAGTCCAGCCTGGTCTACAGAGCAAGTTCCAGGACAGCCAGGGCTGCACAGAGAAACCCTGTCTCAAAACAACAGAGAGAGGGGGGCAAGTACTATATGCTTGAGTAACAAAGTGACCTTTACTTAAATTTGTCTCCATGGAATGATAAGTATCATTTCTGAGACTGGAAAAATAAAGCAGGCCTTGAACTTGCAATCCTCTTGTTTTGGCCTCCAGAGTACCTGGGATTACAGGGGTGACCCAGCTTTATAGTTTAATTTTATTATGTTTTTCTTTTTTATTATTGTGTGTATGATGTATGCATGCATGTGTGAGTACAGGCACATGCTTGCTATAGACATGGGTGTGGCAGTCAGAGGACAGCACAGGTGTCTGTCCTCACCCTCTACCTGTTTGAGACCTGCCTCTTTTGCCGTTCTCAGTGCTTGCACCCAGTGAACTGCTCTTCAGCCTTGGAGGACTGCCGTCTCTGCCTCTCATCTCGCTGTAGACGCTCTGGGGTTGCTGCACCAGACTTTTATGTGGGTTCTGGAGACTCAAACTCAGGTCCTCACACTTGGGCTTTACCTACAGAGCTATCTCCACGGTCCTGTGGCTTAATTTCAGAAGATACTAAAGGGTAATTTTATAGCTTAGAAAATTCTTGAGGTTGTCAAGATGCAATGTGAAGGAGAGCTGGGAAGGACAGGACAAAGGGATGTAGCAAGACTAGATCTAGGTCTGTTACAGATGCAGATGGCAGCTAGCAAATAGTCTCTTCGTTGTATTTTCTTGTTTACTTAGGAAGAAATGCAACTGGTAGGAGAGACAGCAAGTGCCCCGTGGCAGAGGGGCTGTGGAAGAGAGTTTGGATGCTGTTGGTTCCTAGCTCTCCACAACTTTATTTTGAAATAAACTACCTAATTGCTCCATGCCTTTATACCCAGATTTTTTCTTGTTGTGGCTGTTGATTTTAATCCTTTGTATTTTGTTCTTCAGTTCTGGAAATTTCTCAGCTATTATTTCTTTGAATATTTCTGGTATACAAATTGAATCCTTCAATATTTTTTCAAATACTGCCCCCTTTTTGAGACAGGGTCTTGCTTGCTGTGTAGCTTAAGCTGACCTCAAACTCAGGATTTTCTCCCTGCCTCAGCCTCCTGAATGCCAGAGTACCTACATGCCAGGCCTGTAGAACCACACATGTCTGCCAGTGTTCTCTTCAGATTCACTCAGTTTCTCTTTCTGACATAGCTGAATTCCTTTTTTCTTTCCTTTTTCAAGTCTGCTTCTTGGTTTTTGTTTGGCTGTTTTGTTTTCCTGTCCTTATAGTTGTTGTTCTTGCAGATACCCTTATTTTAAAGTCATTTTAAAGTTCTTATTTGCTTACTTTGAGTAGTGACTGAAATAACGCTAGTTTTGTTTTTGTTTTTGTTTAACATGTTTGGAAATTTAGTTTACAGATTTCCTTTTTTCCTCTCTTTTCTGAGACAAGGTCTCACTGTGTAGGTGGGTCAGGCCACACTGTGAGGTCTTCCCACTTCAGCCTCTTAAACTACTTGATTACAGGCCTGTGCCATCATACCCAGCTGCAGATTTCCTCCTGGGTTTTTCCTCACCTGTATGTATGCTTCATGCCATGCATATTCAAAGGGGCTAATGTGCTCCCGAGTCTCCAAGTAAACCTAATTGAAATGGGAGTTCTGAGTTTCCAACTGTAAAAGGCTAAGGCCTGCAGCATACATTTTATTTTACCTTTTTTTTTTGATTTGTCATAGGCGATTTGTACTTTATGCCACTTGTATCTCTGATTATCCTCTGACTTTAACTCCTTTCATTGGGAGGGGTCCGTGCTCTAGATGTACTTTGTGCAACTTTCCTGCCCTTCCATAGATGAGGCTTTTGTCCTATTACCTAGCAAGCAAAGAATCCTCAGTCCTCTGTCCAGTTTACAGCCTACAGCTCAGTAATCCTCTGGCATACCTTCCGTCTGCCATCAGAAATGTCTGCTCGGTTTCTGCCTCGTTGGGCATTTATCTTCTTTGAGCAGAGGGATGTATTTGTGTACCTCCACATAGAATTGCAATACTCCTTTTCATTGTTGGTTGCTGGCTCTGTTGCATTTTATTATTTTTCTGCTCTTCTTTAATTTTATTTTCTTCATCACCTATATTCACATACCACATTTGCTTGAATCTGTATCAGGAGAATATCTATAGAGAGAATTTGGGTGAGGATTTTAAAATGTACATCATCAATTTAATTATACAAACCTTTAAAAAATTTTCTCTCATTATTATGTTCTGGATCCCCAGCACCCATGTAAAACCTGGGTGCATCTGTAACCCTGGCACTGGGAGAGTGGAGACAGGTGGAGCCCAGGGGTGCTCACTGGCCACCCAGGATAGCTGAAATGGTGCGCTCCAGGTTTACTGAGAGATACTGTCTCAAAAAATAAGGTGGAGAGTGATGGAAGATGACATCGATCTTTGTCTACACACACACACACACACACACACACACACACACACACACACACACACTTGTGTGTGTGTGTCCAAGCGAATGCACAACAAAAACAGAAATCCAAAACTTAAAAAATCAAAAGGTGAGTCCTTAAGCAATTTCAGTTACCATTGTTTGGTGGAAAATGTTAACACTGATGCTCTCCTAAAACAAACACCTCTTTAAAATTCCTGGAGTGACATTGTGAAAACCCTAATAGACATTTAATTCCATTTTAGAGAAGTATCTACAGTATTAAAAAATTCTTCTTGCTTTCATTTTTGGATTCTTCTGTTACCATTTTATGAAGTTTGAACAAATAGTGCTATTTTTTCAGAATAAGTTTTGTAAGTGCAGTGTGTCTACAGGCCCTTGATTCCTAAGTCCTCTGTGGAATTATCATCTCCCATCTAACATCTGTTTAAGGGAAATGTGAGGCAGGTGCTGTTGGCCTTCATGGCACATGTCAGTTGGCACTGGGCTTTGAGAAAGCAGAAAGTTCGTCCCTAGTTTTATTACCATGCTTTTCCTTAGGTAACATAGTGGGGTTGTGTGTGTCCCTGCTTGAGCTCTTTTCTTGGGAGCTGTCACAGTGACTGGAAATGAGCACATATGGCCTACACTTGTTCTTACAGTTGTTTCTCTGGTTGTCTCTTCATCTCTTTCCTTCACATTCACTCATGTTGATTTCTGTCCATTTTGGCCCCATACTTCCAGTGTGAATTTTATTTGGAATTAAATTCAAGTCTAATGTCTTGAATGTTTGTTTTTCAGTGATCAGGAACCTCCCTATTCAATGATTACATTACATGAAATGGCAGAAACAGGTATTTTCAAGTTTTTATTTTTAATACTTCCTAATGAATTAAAAATAATGAAAAATGTATGACCACTTTTTTAAAGATTATAACATAGAAAAAATTATAGGTGTATGGAAGTCCCCTCTAAAAGTCTAATGGGACTTAGATATATTGCATCCTCAATATTAAACTGCACATCTGAGTGATGGTTGTATCTCATTTGAAATTGAGATAAGAAAATTTATTTTATTGGTGGTTCTTTGTACTTGTCCTAGAATGGGGAGGATAACTGTTTGTTGTTCAACATCCTAAAGTGTCATTCCAAAACAGAGCCAAGTACTGAGTGTATGTAGTTAAGTCCTATTTGACAAATGCTTAAAACTATTTTAATCATAATCTGAGAATCAAGGCCATAGCTTAATTTTCTCAATTAAAGATGCCCTTCAGTCACCAGACACCTGTAACAGCGTTTGGCTCATCATGATGACTAGGAATTTATGACAGTACCATGTCAACTTCTAGCTTCTTAAAGCCACCACATAAAGGCCAAAAATGTTTCTTTGTTAATGTAAAGTCCTTGTATGTTTTCATGTTTCCAAAATAGTGACTCCATTACATAATCTTCTTGGTTTGCCCTTAGATGAAGGATGGTTGGATGTTGTCCAGTCTTTAATTAGAGTTATTCCATTGGAAGATCCATTGGGACCAGCTGTTATAACCTTGTTACTAGACGAATGTCCATTGCCCACTAAAGTAAGTGAAACTGATCTTCATGGAATGTCATCTGTGTCATCTGTGCCCAGGAGGAATAATCACAGAAGCATTTAGTAGACTTTACATACTTGAGATCTGTGTTATTCGATAGTAGCAAGAAAATTTTTATTGTTAATGAAGTACTATATCCTCTACCAATAGGTTTTAGTTCAGAGTTTTTTTTTTTGGTTTTTCGAGACAGGGTTTCTCTGTGTAGCTTTGCGCCTTTTCCTGGAACTCACTTGGCAGTCGAGGCTGGCCTCGAACTCACAGAGATCCGCCTGGCTCTGCCTCCCGAGTGCTGGGATTAAAGGCGTGCGCCACCACCGCCCGGCTTAGTTCAGTGTTTTTTAATGTTTAAAGTAGAAACATTTGAATCTGCACGGACAGTCTTGGCTTGAAAACTAGAAGAAAATGAGCTGATTTTATCTGTCAGCAACTTCCTCATAACAAAGATTTTCTATTAAGAGGAAAAGTACTGTACTGAAAGCCCTTTTGAGACTTGCTTAAGCACATTAGAGATTTGCATAGCCTGGCTTATGATCTAACTAGGACACAAATGTTCAAATTTTCATTGCTTTGGCCTCTACCTTCTACAGGCTGCCTCCATGCACACGTTTTATTTTGTTTTGTTTTGTTTGAGACCAGGTCTCACTATGTAGACTTTACAGGCCTGAAACTCACTTTGTAGACCAGGCTGGCCTCAAACTCATAGAAATCTGCCTGAGTGCTGGGATTACCACCACACCCATACATACTTTTAAAAATCTGGATTCTGATATATTTTATTTGTATGTTGAAGCCTTAGATCCTTGAGCTCTCTAATAGGAAAACATGAACAGATAGAAATGCCTTTAGCCTAGTCATTGTCAGCTTTACCCATGCTTATAACTATTTCAGTTTTTAGTTTGCCTCAAAAATTGGTGGGATTTGTTTTTGCCTAATAGAACTTTCTTTTTTTAAGATTTATTTATTTTGTATTTTGTATGCAGTGTTCTGCCTGTGTGTCTGCCTGCAGGCCAGAAGAGGGCACCAGATCTCATTATGGATGGTTGTAAGCCACCATGTGGTTGCTGGGAATTGAACTCAGGACCTCTGGAAGAGCAGCCAGTACCCTTAACCGCTGAGCCATCTCTCCAGTCCACTTACAGAGCTTTTTGTCAGCCAAGCATGGTAGTACATGCCTATAATTCTAGCACTCAGCAGGTAGAAGTAGGAATTCCAGGAGTCCCAGGAAAGACTCGATGCCTTGGCTACACAGCAGGTTTAAGGGCAGCTTGAGCCACACAAGAACCTGTCTTTAAAAAATAATGGCCTGGCAGTGGTAGTGCACGCCCTTAATCCCAGCACTCAGGAAGCAGAGGCGGGTGAATCTCTGAGTTCAAGGCCTGGTCTACAGAGCGAGTTCTAAGATAGCCGAAGCTACACAAAGAAACCCATCTCGAAAACCAAAATAAATAATAGATGAATGAACAAACAAATAAACAAACAAATAAATAAATAAGTGGGTGAGGTGGCTCATGCCTGTACTCCCAGCATTTGGAAAGCTGACGTAGAGGATTGCATGATCTCAAGGGCAGCCTGGACTATATAGGGAATTACAGGCCAGCCTGGGCTGAACTACTGAGCCCTTGTCCTGGGAGAAAAAGTAACTTATCGAATTCCCCTCAGGTGCCTGCCCTGAGGAGATTTCTCCCAGAGTCCTGGGGAAGACGGACAAGTGGCTGGGATATTAATCTGAGGGATATCAAATTAATCTAAGCACACCGAGCTCGTTAGTCCATTCACTTTATTCTTCCAAGTCAGTCCTATCTACACAGCCTCTTTTCTGTTCTCTACTTAGCTCCTCTCTGTCCCTTCTTCTGCTGCTCTCAGTTCTTCTTTTGTTCTCCCCCCATTCATTAACAGCTTGTTAGTAAAAACTACCAAGTAAGCTCTCAGCAGCAAGTATTCGGATAAGAGTCACACTTGGCAAAGACTTGGTCAGCTTAATTGGTGATTGACAACAGCTGTAGGTTGTAAAAAGTTCTGGCTATCTCTTAAAGGGATAGCTACAAGGGTTACAAGGAAAGAAATTAAACCAATAGAGATTTAAGGAAAAAGCAAAGAAGATGTGTACTATTTTATGTGATTAATAATATCCAGACATAGTTAGTCAGTTTATAACATTTTTCTGTTAATCACCTGAATCTCAGGACCAATATATAATTAATATACTAAGCCTTGCATTAAAAACTGGTGTAGAAATAAACACAAAGTGTTCATTGTTTTTTGAATCAGAGTGGGGAGGTGCTGGTGGAGGAAGCTTAGGGTAACATAGGTGCTGTTGATCTCTTGAAGGACTAAGATATACCAAGGACAGACACCTGCACTATCATTTCTAGTATAGTATAATTCTTCTGAAGGGTTTTGATCCAACAAGGCCAGGCACCTGCAATTCCACTCTGTGAAAGTTCTACGAGGACACTTTGTCTGGCTTATTTAGCCTAGTCAATGGCTAAGGATGTAGAACAAGACGTCTAAGTGTCTATCGCCACATGGAACAATAGACCTAGTTATGAAGCATATTTTAGTATGTTCCTAATCATAAAAATTGTACAGTTAAATAAGAAACCATCTTCTAGACTATCCACAATTATGTGTGCCCATAAGATTGAGATGTAATCATGAGATTACATGTACACGTTACATGTAAATATACGGTAAATGGGGAGTTATCATAGCTGTTATTGCACAAGAAGTTTACAACAAGAAACAGCCAATTCATTCAAAAGGCAGTAATTCCGTAACACTGTGCGTGATGATTTCCTCCAACAGAACCCTTGGTTCTGATAGGTTGACCTTCTGAACACTAATTGTTAACCTGCTGTATACTCCCATGGTCTTTTGCTACCAGCAGCTCTCAGTAGTAACTTTTTATTTCAATATCACTAGGTCATAGTTACTTTTGGTTTTATGTTTTGGAATTTGTTGTTTTAAGTTAGGGTTTCACTGTGTATGTTTGGTTTCTTTTTGAGACAGGGTCTCACTGTGTAACATAGGCTGGTCTTGAGTTTAGCCTTGGTCTTACAAAATTCATGCCTCAGCCTTCTGAGTCCTGAAATTTTAGGTATGTTCCACCATGACCAAGTTACTGTGATTAATCATGTTGACATTTGAATGGGTTTAGTCTGGTTAATGATTCAAGATTGTGTATACATACATATATGTATAAAATAAACTGGATGTGGTAGTGCATACCTATAATCCCAGCACTCAGGAAGCTGAGGTAGGAGGATTGCCATAAGCAAGACCAACCTGGGCTACATAATGAGTTCCAGGATGGCCTTGGTATATATGGCTATATGTATGGCTGTATATACCAAAACTCCATCTCAAAAACCAAAAGTGCAAAATACGCATTGTCTATAACTGGTACATTTTGAATAAAATGAAATCTGGCATTGAGAAACTTAAGGTTGGTCAGACATTTCCCATAAATAATAATGATACCATTGGAGTAATTTTATGTGATTATTCCAAGTTCATTGAGTACCTTTTTATAGCTTTATTTCCAGGAATTCCCTTGGGAAAATAACCTGTGGAGTATGTATTCATCAAATCTATTTGTAACTTTTTTATAGGATGCACTCCAGAAATTGACTGAAATTCTCAATTTAAATGGAGAAGTAGCATGCCAGGACTCAGGGCACCCTGCCAAACATAGGAACACATCCGCAGTCTTGGGCTGCTTGGCTGAGAAACTAGCAGGTAACTCTAGCACACACCACCCAAGAGCCTTACTTGTTTGACGTTGAGACACCTGTATTGCAGACCTTTGGGCACCTTTAATTGCAGAAAGAAGCTGAGTGTGGTGGCACACACCTGTAACCAAGGCACTTTAAGACAAGAGGGCTAAGAGTTCAAAGCCAGCCTCCCCTGCATAGTGAGTTAGAGGCCAACCAGAACTTTGGGAGACCCTTTTTCAAAACAAACAAAAAACAAAAAAGAAATGAACAGAAATGGACTGAAAGGAAGAAAATTACTCAAAAGACACAGTTAAATGCAATCTAAATTAGCTTTATTTTTTCAGAGAAATTTAAGATAAATCTGTTATATTTATTTGCTCAAGATAGGGAAAAAGGCTAAATTAGTATAACAAATAGTTATGCATTTAGAGAAATGAATATTACCCATTTTAGAAATATCAACAGCAAATCACATGAGAATGTCTCAGCCAGTTACTTTATATATAGTAGAAGAAATAATGGATTGAAAATCAGAGCCAGGTGGTGGTGGCGCACGCCTTTAATCCCAGCACTCGGGAGGCAGAGGCAGGCGGATCTCTTGAGTTTGAGGCCAGCCTGGGCTACAGAGCGAGTTCTCGGAAAGGCGCAAAGCTACACAGAGAAATCCTGTCTCGAAAAAAAAAAAAGAAAAGAAAATCAGAACATGTGGGTGCTGGCTCAGACTATCATGGCTCCCCAAGAGCCCTGCAACTAGTCTGTTTATGGTGGACTCAGTTGCCAAGCTGTGAAATGGGGATGATAGTAGGAACAGCCTGAGAGAGGAGGTCTGAGTAACGTGCATAAGAGTACAGAATTCAAGCAAAATAATTTGGTTGTTGTTAGTTAACTAATTTCAAATAGTGTGACACTTTTAATTATGTCCAGTATTTGCTGTGTTTGTCTAGGTCCTGCAAGCATAGGTTTACTTAGCCCAGGAATTTTGGAATATTTGCTACAGTGTCTGGTAAGTAAGACATCAAAGCTTATTATTCTCATCATACAGATTGTCTGTTTTTCTCAAATCACTAGCATAGTCCCTGGTGCAGAGAATAGGGTGAGTTATAAGTTTTATGTACAGGTATTTCCTGGGTATTTATTTATCACCTCCTATGTTTAGAGACAGAAAGGAGAGAGGGAGAGAGGAGAGAGAGGTGGGTGTTTATTACAAGCAAATAACAATTGAATTGGTCTGGTTTTAAATTTAGTCATAAGATAGCTGCTAGTACTTTTTGTGTGTTCTTATAGTCTACCAAAAAGTAATGAAAAATACCACTACCACCCCACATATACACACACACACAGTGGAAACAAAATTCATGGCATTCCAACAACAGGCCAGTTTCCCAGAGTATATAAATCTCTACTCCTGCCCACCCTTCCCTTTACAGTTAAAACTGTCATTGTTGGAGTGTCTGATGTATCACCCATGAAGTTGTGGTTTGCTGAAGCAGCGGCCATGTCATCAGGGGAGAGTGCTGATTGGAAGAATCAGAGGCCATGGTTACCTTTTTAGAGCTTTATTGGGGCGGGGGGGGGGGGGGGGGGGAGGAGAAAGAGAAAGAGGACAGACGGAAGGAAGGAGCGGAAAGGAAAGAGAGGGACACACAGGACCCACCCGCTTTTTAGGCTGGGACACCGTCGAAGGCTAATGACATAATTAAGGACTGAATCCTTACATCCCAGACTTTCCCTTATTATAAAAAAAAAAGCAGGTAGATGGGACTAGGGGTGTCATTCCTCTCAAAAACTGCTTCCAGCTGACTCTTGGATGTCGGTTGGCTCTGGGGGAATGGAGAAGAGTTTTCTGAGGTAGACAGGTGTTGTGGAATGCTGTCTGTCATGTTTGCTCTGGAAACATGTATCCCTCTTGGCTGTGGCTGGGAACTTTTTGTTTGACAAGATGCTTTTAGCTGTTACAGTTTCTTATTTGATGATCTCTGAACTCCGGTTCTGTGGTGGTCCTGTACCATTAGCTGAACAGTGAGTTAGAATGGGGAACTGGGAAGAGAAAAGCTTGTGGTGCATGAGAATTTATTTTTTGGAATTAGGGACAAGGCAAAGATCAGGGCCCTGTCTGTATGCACGTGAGAAACACAAGCAGTGGATCTAGAATGAAGCAATGAGCTCTTATTTTAGCTGGAAATCTTTTTTCATTAAGTAACTCTGAAAGTGCAATTAAATCTGGTGAGGTGGTAAGGCTGTCCTCTGCACCAGACAATAAAGGAGAGGTGACATCTCAAAACTCCCAGGACTGAGTCAGTGGCTCTGGTGTCCAGAAGGAAAGAATCAGATCGCTTCCCTGCTGCGTTCTGGGTTCCCTGCCATGTCTGTAGCCAAGCCTAGGTCTGTTGGAGGTCTTAGCTTAATGTACCCATGCATCTTGGTGCCTGGGGGCAGTCAGCTGACTCTTTGTCTTTCTAGGCAGCACTTTTAACAAGGCTGTTGATGGCCTGGCAGGGCATTCACTAGCCCGTGGCCTTTTCCTCACTTAAAACAGGGACCCAACAGCTTTTGGGAGTCAGCGAGTGCCAGCACTTGGCAATTTTGTTTTTGGACTTTTATCTTTTCCCTGGCACACCTTAAATGCCACAGATGACTCTTTTGCCTGTGGGGTCAGGAGCCTTGCTCTCCAGATGCTTAAGTTTTAGTCGGGGAGGTCTGGGGAACAAGAGACGGATTTTATTCCATGTCCTGAATTTTTTTTTTTTCCTGATGATTGGTGGCTTAAGGACAGCTTTTGGAGGATCTGCCAGTAGGCAGACTATAAACCAATCCTTTTGGAAGACTTGTCTGAGGCTATAAGCTGATTTTTTAGCGTAAGAACCATCCTGACTACTGTAAACTTATTTGTATGGATCTTAGCTGCCTCAGCTGACCCATCTGTGCTTCTCAAGGCAGTTTGAGAATGAGTGGGTGGAGTTAAGATGAGTTAGGGCAAGTGGTAGAAACTGCCCAAGCCTGCCCATTTGAGCCTGCCCACTGCCGGCAGAAGTCAGACAGAAAAGGTTGCACGTGGCAGAAGCAGAAGTGGGAAGGGAGAAGGGATTAGAACTTTAGCAGAAAGCTTGGAGATAAAGTAACTCTTATTTGCCTGGCAGAAGTTCCCATGACTCTGTTATGTGGCCAGGTTTACGCTGTGCCCGCCCCTATCCGCCAATGTAGGTGGTAAATGTATCGTATCTGCCCCTTTGTCTCATGGCTGTAGCCGAGAGAAAAATAAAAAATTAAAATAACAAACCAGGATCAGACTACAGTCTTGGGCGTCCCCAAAGAGTGGAGAGAGATCCATGAATCAGCTCAAGTCACCGTGCCTCTTCGTCAAGGGAAGGTGAGGGCTTGGCTGCACTGCAGTTGGTCCACCGTTGAACCCTAGACACCATTTACCCCCTCGTCAGGAGCAAAAATGTGCCTGCCCTTGCCAGTACAGCCCGAGGACAACCCCCGGGTGTCCGTCACAAAGAATATAGCTCAGACTACAGCCGCGAGAACAGCAGACTCACTGTAGTGATGGCAGCGGTAGCTGTGTGGGGGTCCAGCGGAGGCGGTGAGGGCCACGCGCGCTTGCGCTAGTGGTCTCACAGTCTTGCTGGATGGGGCAGGAGGCAGCAGGCGGCAGCAGTCACAGCAGGTCCTCAGTGTTCGGTGGTGTATCCGAGTCTGAATGGCACCAATGTTGGTTAAACGGTGCGCTGCTCGTGACTGGCTGCCGCCTGCTGCGGCCATGCCGGCAGAGGAGAGTGCTGGTCGGAAGAATCATAGCCATGGTTACCTTTTTAGAACTTTACTGGGAGAGAGAGGGAGAGGGAGAGGGAGAGACATATGGAAGGAAGGAGCGGAAAGGAAAGAGAGGGGCGCACAGAGGGCCCACCCGCTTTTTAGGCTGGGACGCCGTGGAAAGCTGATGACGTAATTAAGGACCGAATCCTTACAGTGACTCCCTGTCACAGCACTTGCCTGCAGTCTGACTAGCCTGTGTTTCTATGTTTCTAAGTTATTTTTGCAAGCCTAGTGAGCATTGGCCTTTTTAAAAACTCTAGTCTAAAAGAATTCATTTGTTGGTGCCTACACAATATGTGATTAAAATAACCCTTACACTGCTCTGAATGAGCACTGGTAGATACCAAAGTAGTAGGAGAGTCATTTACCTTCACAAAGCTCACTGTAACTTAAAGGAATAGAACCATTCAGACAACAGTTAACTTACACTCGACAGGATGTGATCAAGAGCAAATTGCTTCCTGAAGACTGAGTGCTGTAAGAGTTCTGAGAAGATGAAGGGATGGGTGGGTGAGGGTGTGATGGGGTGACAAGGGGCCTGTGGTAATCATGAAAGACAGACTTCCTGATGTGGGCTTAGCTAGCTTATGACCAGGTTAAGATTAGGAACTCACAGTGAGTTTCCTGACTAAAGCATCATGGCAGAAGCCTAGTGACAGTTATCTGAGCAGAGAAGGTGGTGTTCAAAGATAGGAGGACATGAACTGGAGTAGCCATGTGGAAGGTTTGGGGCTGGAAGAGCCAGGCAGGAAGGGTTAAGGATGTGGCGAGGATAAAGATGCTGCAGAGGCTTTGCAGCCGGGAGAACAGTGCTTCTGTGAGCTGTGCTAAGCTTCAGCGGGCACCACAGAGATGCATGGGAATACACTGGTGTTCTAGAACTCTCCGAAGGCTCCCAACATAGCTGGGAGAAAGCAAGAATGTGAGAAGAGAAGATAATAAACATGTAGACCTGATGAGTGGGAACTGATGTGATGTAAACTCAAATGTAAGTTAAGTACACTTCTTGTCTCTCTCCCGTCCTCATCAGCATCTGTAGAATTCCCTGCAGGAACTAGATTAAAACTAAGATATTGCTGGGTGTGGTGGCGCACGCCTTTAGTCCTAGCACTGGGAGGCAGAGGCAGATGGATCTATATGAATTCAAGGCCAGCCTGTTCCGAGACAACCAGAGCTACATAATAGACCCTGTCTCAGACAGACAAACAAAAAACTAAGATGCTAATTGATAGTATCATTATTTGTAATTCTGGAACTGGTATTATCTCTTTGGGTGTACTAAAGGTCATTTTTAACTATAATTCTAGTTTTTTTTTTGGCTTGTTTTAAATGAGTATAAGCATGAACATTATTTTAGTTAATAGAGTCCTAATACACATGTTACTAAGTCTAATAGCACAATACATTTTTAATGAAACACTGCTGAAATGTCCATATCTATAAATTAACTCAATGACTATCTTAATCCTCCAGTAATCAAGTGGACAATTGAGACTTTGAATGAGGGAGACTTTTCTGCTGTCCCAAGTATATAATCTGGCATGTATTAAGTAAGAATCTGAAATTGATACCTTACGGCTCTGCAGGGGTGTGACTTTTGTCTTTATCTTTTGTTGTCTTTCAGAAGTTACAGTCCCACCCCACAGTCATGCTTTTTGCACTGATTGCACTGGAAAAGTTTGCCCAGACAAGTAGGTATAGTGACTTCTTGCACTAATAGTCTTTGGTTATAAAAACGTGAGCCTACACTTTGAACTCCATCAGATGTACATACATTCTGGTTATAAGACCAGCAGAGTATATCAAGAACAAAAACAAAGATTATTCTCAGCTGAGATTCCAAGCATGGTGACTATAACTACTTTTGTAGCTAAAACCTTTGCGCTCAGGGGATGGAGAGATGGGTCAGCAGTTAAGAGTGCTTGCTTTGCAATCAAGAAGACCTGAGTTTGGATCCCAACACTCATTAGCAAGCCCAGCACCTCCTGAATACCCCTGAGGTAAAGAAAGACAAAAGGGTTGCTGAGGCTTGCTGGCTTCCAGCGCAATCAGGAAAATGGAAGCCGCCGCCCCCGCCCCCGCGCCCCCCCCCCCCCCCCCCCCCCCCCCCCCCCCCCGATTCAAGGAGTACTCCTGCCTCAAAAGGAATGGTATTGAGAGATAGACAAGGACATCTGTGCTCTCTTCTGGCTTCCACACATGCCTTACACATGTGTGCATATATTCACACAGACATAAACATGCACATAAAGCACACACACACACACAATTTAAAAAAATAATTGCAGGGACATGATGAAGCTGGAGCGGTGGTTCGGCAATTAAGAGCACTTGATGCTCTTCCAGAGGACTGGAATTTGGTTCCCAGCACCAACATTATTGGGCACCTCACAACCACCTATAACTCCGGCTCCAGGAGATCTGACATGCTCTTCTGGCCTCTCTACAGGCACTCAGGCACACGGGGTTCATTCACAGACTCATTTGCATATTCATAAATAAAAACCTTATGCTGGGCATTATAGTGCATGCCTTTAATCCTAGCACTCAGGCAGCAGAGGCAGTTTGAGTGTGAGGCCAGCCTGGTCTAGGTAGTGAGTTCCAGGACAGCCAGCGATACACAGAGAAACCTTGTCTCAAAAGAACCAAAACAATAATAATAAATAATAAACAAATAAATCTTTTTTTTTTTTTTTTTTTTTTGGTTTTTTCGAGACAGGGTTTCTCTGTGTAGCTTTGCGCCTTTCCTGGAACTCACTTGGTAGTCCAGGCTGGCCTCGAACTCACAGAGATCCGCCTGGCTCTGCCTCCCGAGTGCTGGGATTAAAGGCGTGCGCCACCACCGCCCGGCAAATCTTTTAAAAATAGTAATGAAATTATAGAAAGTAGCCACAACTCTTTGGCTGTGTCATCCCTAGAAGGAAGCATGGAAATTTGTTCTAGTGTCCAAATTCTCTCTTGTCTCTCCTCATTCCTTACCACCACTAACCCGCCCAACACACCTCCTCCTCTTCCATTGTTATTTAAAGATTTCATCCTTCCGAACAGGTGAGAATAAGTTGACTATCTCTGAATCCAGTATTAGTGACCGACTGGTCACCTTGGAGTTGTGGGCTGATGATCCTGATTATCTGAAACGTCAAGTTGGCTTCTGTGCCCAGTGGAGCTTAGACAATCTCTGTAAGTGGGAGTTGTCCTTTATTAAACCATGTTTCTGCTTCTCTATATTAATTTTTTTATTTTATTTATGTTGAGTTGGGAGGATGGTTGTGCATGTATGTAGAGGTTAGAGGACAAATTTCAGGAGTTGGTTCTCTTTTTCCGCCATGTGGGTTCCATGTCATCAGGCAAGTGCCTGTACCTACTGAGCCATCTCAGCAGCCAAGATTTGTTTACATTTCTAAATCCGGGTCTTCAGTAGGATCAATAATAGCCTTCCTTTTGCTGTAATGAGTGGGAGTTCTTAATAAGCTTCTTACTGCAGGGTAGATATACTCTAATAGAAAAGTATCTTAGGCACCATTCAGATGAGAGTTCAATGGAATGTTTCTAAGGCCAGCATTCTCCAGTTCACAGACCTTTACTGACACATGCTGAGTCAGACTCCTTAATTATAGAGCTCTGTCTAAGAACTTGCCAACACACACTTTCCTCACTGCCCTCCAACTAGGTCCAGCTAGTTCCACCTCTGGGCCTGTTCACACTTGCACTTCCTTTGTCTTTTCTTTTTGTGTGTGCATGTGTGGTGTTTCTATTGTCATGTGACAGAACGTTGGACATAAACAACCTCCTGGCAAGAATTACTGATTTGGGTTCATAGTTTCTGCTCTCAGTTTCCATGGCAGGAAGGTGGGAAGAATAGCCTCCTCCGGGAGGCCAGAAAACAGACAGAATGTCTTTTTTTTTTTTTTTTTTTTTTTTTCATTTAGCTTTCAGTGCTAGGAACGTGTTCTAGAACCTTGTTCATGCTAGGAAAGCATTCTGCCACTGAATTATAGCCCCAGCCCTGTTGCCTTCCTTGTACTCTTCTCCTGACCTCAGATGGTCTCTACAAACCCAAACTAATTCTTACTTACACGGTGGAGTTATTTTTAACTTTTTCTCCCCCAAAGGCTACTAGAATACAAACCAAGCTGCTGTACCATTCCATGTCTCTATTACTAGCACTGTGCTAATGCACAGTTAAACACATAACCTCCAGTTTTTTCTCTAACAGCCTATGTAGTGCTAGTTAGAGAGTAATTCTGAGTAAATGCAATTTGGAAGCTAGCTGGGAGTGAAGACAAATAGCTATAATCTTAGCATTTGAGAGGCAAAGGCAGGAGAAACGAGTTCAAGGCCATTCTCAGCTACATAGTGAGTTTAAACCCAACATGAGCAACATTAGACCCTGCCTCCAAAACAAAACAACAACAAACTAACCTGTGCATGGTAGCACACACCTTTAACCCTGTACACGGGAAATAGAGACAGGTAGATCTCTGTCAGTTCAAGGATGGCCTGGTCTACATGACAAGTTCTAGGCCAGTCAGGTACACAGTGAGACCTGCTATTTAGATTTTGTTTCATGCACTCCAGTAGATACAGGGACTGGAAAATACCACACCCCACAGTGCTGCCTTTTCTGGCCTTTGCTTAGGCCATGTAATAGATAAGATGCTAGGCCCTACCAGTTCTCCATTCTTGTATGGCAGCTAGAGATGACCATTTCCCCTTTTTTCCAAACCATCACAGCCTGCCCTAGGAAACATGACCACCTTTTCTTTTGCAGTTTTAAAAGAAGGTAGACAACTAACCTACGAGAAAGTGGACTTGAATAACATTAGGGCCATGCTGAACAGCAATGATGTCAGCGAGTACTTGAAGATCTCACCTCACGGCTTGGAGGTAAAACTTTCACAGACCTTCTAAGGGCTAAAATTACTCTGTTCCCATTTTTCACGCTCTGCTTCAGAACAAAAGCAATGTCTAACAGAGTATGTAGACGCTTTTCTTCTATCTGAAGAGTGGTTAGTGGTAAAAGTGGTAGGGATAGAGAATGCTTTGGGGTATTATCCGTCTGTTACATCCCACATGTTACTGCATCTGTTGTAGCATTACAGTGCTTGTTGACTGGTTCAAATATGTCTGAGTTGTTTGTAGTACTCACAGTTGCTAAATAAGTGCTCCACTACTAAAGTACAGCCCTAGCTAAAGAGATGGTTTTAAACATTTAAAAATATTTTATCTTACGTATATGGATATTTTGCCTGCATGTATGTCTATGTACCAATTCCTTGCCTGGTGCCAGTGGAGGCCAGAAGTCATCAGATCCCCTGGATCTGGAGTTACAGAAATTTGTGAGCTACCATGTGGGTGCTGGGACTCAAACCCACATCCTTTGTAGCCAGTGATCTTAACTGCTAAGCCATCTCTCTTAGCTCTATATCTGCTTTTAATCTTTGCCATTTTGTTCAACTGAAAGTATGAAGACAAGTGTTTCCCAGTGAAGCCTCTCCTTTTGCAAATGCCCACAGAGCCAATTGTGCTAGACCTGGTGCTTCCCTTCCTCGTGCTGAATATTGCCAATTGTATAGTGCAGGTTGATATAAGAGCTGCTTCTGTATAGGAAAGTACCACGGGACAAGGCATTTCAGGATTGTAGTACAATTTGACAATGGCTGCCAAACCCTTCTCTCGTTTGTTTTTGCTGTGAATTATAGGTAGATACCCTGTCTTTACCCTCCCCTGTCTTTGTCTGGTGAAGGCAGTGTTTGCGTTTGTAAAGATTCTGGTCTCAAAGCAGACTCTCTAAGTACTGAAAAACAAAGCCAGTGGCTTTGACTACTTGCAGTTACAACTATCTTTGAAATCCAAGAAGTCAAACTGAAGTAATGATAGGGTTGCTTCACTCAGTTTTATGCTTTTTTAAATCACTGAAAATGGACTGTGGAATCTACTAGGGGCTTTAATAAGGAAAACTCCATCCCACCTTCCCTAGGCCAGTTACTAGGTGGCCGTCAGGCACTGATGAATTGATTTGTACTTCTTGGTTCTGCCAGGCTCGCTGTGATGCCTCCTCCTTTGAGAGTGTACGCTGCACTTTTTGTGTGGACACTGGGGTGTGGTACTACGAAGTAACAGTGGTCACTTCTGGTGTCATGCAGATTGGCTGGGCTACTCGAGACAGCAAGTTTCTCAACCACGTGAGTACGGGGGGGGGGGGGGGGGGGGGGGGGGGGGGGGCGGGGGGGCGGGGCATGCAAACGAGGCAGCAGCAGCTTGCTCTTCTGGTGGATGGGTAGAGATTTCAGATGTGTTTAGTTTTCAGATAAGTTTGCTCAGTAGCTAAGTAGTGCCAGATTTCCTACCAGGCTTGCTATACTGACGTAAGAATAAGAAACAAGTGAAAATGCAGGTCAGCCTCTAGGTTCACCTCAATTTCCTACCTAGAGGTGTGTCTTTATGGCTTTCCTGTAGTTCCAGACATATTTGGGGACCCAGTTATCGAACTGTGACAAGGGATGATTTTTTTTTTTTCCTTTTTTTTTTTTTTTTTTTTTTTTTTTTTTGAGACAGGGTTTCTCTGTGTAGCCCTGACTGTCCTGGAACTTGCTGGCTTCGAACTCAGAGATCCACCTGTCTCTGCCTCTTGAATCCTAGGAGTAAAAGTGTGTGCCACCACAGCCTGGTTGACAATGGATGATTTTACCTTGAGATTAAAGTTTTGGGAACCTTGTAGGGGGACTGAAGAGATGACTTTCCTGCTCATCTCAGAGGACCTGAGTTTGGTTCCTAGCACCCACATGAGGCTGCTAACAACCACTTGTAACTCCAGCTCCAGGAGATCCAACAACCCCTTCTGGCCTCTATGGCTACCCACACACATGTGGCATGCACACACTAACATACATATAAATAAAAAAAAAATAGAAATGCGTCTTTTAAAAAAGGAACCTGGGCTTGGGGATTTAGCTCAGTGGTAGAGCGCTTGCCTAGCAAGTGCAAGACCCTGGGTTCGGTCCTCAGCTCCCGGGGGGGGAGGGGGGGGGCACGGACGGACGGGGACGACACGGACGGTCGGACACCTTTGCTGGATGGTGGTGGCATACACCTTTAATCCCAGCACTTGGAAGGTAGAGGCAGGTGGATGGATCTCTGTGAGCTGGAGGCCAGCCTGTTCTATAGAGTGAGTTCTAGGACAGCCAGGGCTGTTACACAGAGAAACCCTGTTTCAGGAAGGGGAAAAAAGGAAAAAGAAGGGAGAGAGAGAAGTCCTGTCCCAAAGAAAAAAGGGAACCTTGTATAAATTCTCTTTCCATAGCATTAAATATTGGCTGACTTTTCTCATTTGACTTTACCTTGTAATTAATAGGCACATTTATTTTCAATGTGTGTTTATCTTTTGTTATAGAAAGTGCTGAAGTAAAGGGAAGTAAAAGGAAGGCTATAGTAAGCAGGCCTGGGATACCACTGATGTGGAAGTGTTATGGGTCCTTCCTTCAGATGGATACTTTTCCTTTTGGAGATAAGGTCTTGCTAACCTAGATCAATATATATATATATATATATATATATATATATATATATATATATATATACCATCAAACTCATGGTGCTCCTCCTGCTTCAGCCTCCCAAGTGCAGGGATAGAGGCCTGCACCACTACACCTTGTCTAGACAATACCCATTAACACCTAACCCAACTGGCTTTCTCCTCTTAGTCAAATTGTAAGATATTTGAGCTTTCTTCTTGGAGAAAACATGAAATGGCAGTACTGCCAGTACAGCAGGAAGGGCCCTCAGTCCTTGGGAGGCCTAGCCAGCTTCCTTGATAAGACTGAGTCATGGTCCAGGCTGCAGGGTTTGTGGCAATAAAGCCAAAGATAAGGAGTAAATCCCCATTACCAGGCTGGGCTCCCTGGTCAAGGACATAAAGATCTAGTCCCTGGAGGAGATCTGCCTGTTCTTCCTGCCCTTTAAGGAATCCAAGATTATTGACTTTTCCTGGGTGCATCCGTAAAGGATGAGGTTCTAAAGATCTTCCAGGGCAGAAGCAAGAAACTGTTGGCCAAAAGACCAGGTTCAAGGCTTTTGTCACTATTGGGGAGTACAGTGGCCATGTTGGTCTTGATGTTAAGTGTTCTAAGCAGGTAGCCACTGCCATCTGAAGGACCATCATCTTAGCTATGCTTTCCATCATCCTTGTGTAGAGATGCTACTGGGGGAGCAAGATTGGCAAGCCCCGCATCATCCCACACAAGGTGATAGGCCACTGGGGCTCTGTGCTGGTGTGCCTCATAGGGGCAGAGGCACTGGCATCATCTCTGCTCCTGTGTCCAAGAAGCTGCCACTGACAGCAGGTTTTGATAACAGCTACACATCAGCCAGGGGCTGCACTGCCGCCCTGGGCAACTTTGCCACCTTTGATGCCATCTCACAGCTAACCAACTTCTGATCTCTGGAAAGACACTGTTCAGCCAGTCTCCTTATCAGGAATTCACTGACCATCTTGTGAAAACACATACCAGAGTCTCTATTCAGAGGACCCAGGCTTCAGCTGTGGCTACCACTTAGGGTTCTTATACCAGAAAAATAAAGTGAATTAAGTCTGGAAAAAAAAATAAGCTATTGGGAATCAATTCAGCTTTGTTTAGGAATATTTTATAAAACTCCTGGACTACAAAAGGAATAGTTGTAAGGAGAAAGCTAATGGGCAAGGCAGGGCGGGCTGGACTCTTAAACTGTGTGGACTCCATTCTGCTGCTATTTTTGTTTGGGAACCTGCAATATTTGGAAGCCTGAGATTATTTTGAGCTGCTGTGCAGTTAGAAGTTACTAGGTCTGGGAAACAATTCCATTGTCTAGTTTCTAACACTGATTTATCTCTAGTTGCCTGTTAGAAATAGAGTCCTAAAAGTGATTTCTTTTCTAACATTAAAAAATAATCTTGAGCTGTATGTAGTGGCATAGGCCTTTAATCCCAACACTGGCAGAGGCAGGTGGATCTGAGTTTGAGACCAGCTTAGTCTACAGAGTGAGTTCGAGGACAGTCAGAGCTGCTACACAGAGAAACCTTGTCTTGAAAAAATGAACAATAATAATAACAGTAATAATCTTGAGCTGGCATGCAGCCTAGCAAGACCCTGTCTCAAAAACCACCTTCTTTAAGTCTGTCATCTGATTTCTACAACCTTTTTTTAGGTGTCTTTTTTTTTTTCTTTTCACAATTTCCATTTCAAAGATGAGAAAAATTAGTACTGAGAAAAGGAAATAAAGAATAGGACTGAATTCATTCCTATTTTACAACAGATTTTTACTTTCTTTCTAAAAATGAGGAGAATCTGAAAGGATTATCTAGTCTCCTCATTTGAAAGTGATAAAGTAGTCCAGAAATAAAGAAAACAGGGATTCTAAAATGGAGGTCCCTTTTCTCTCTGTTTTTCTACTGGAATTTTCTAGCAGTCACACTAACAATGATGCTTGTCCTTTTTTTTAATGGTCAGTGAAGCTTGTGACTAAAACTATTTCCGCTATAGAGCTGTAGATATTTGACACCTCAAATTAAGACTAAAAATAGTTTCTTGCCCTCCAAATTGCGATAGGCTTTTGGCTTTTTAGATTTACTCTATGTGTGTACGTGTGTGTGTGTGTGTGTGTGTGTGTGTGTATATGCGCGTGTGTGCGCGCACACATTCATGCTGATACATTTGGAGGCCAGAGGAAGACATCAGATCTCCTGCAGCTGGAGTTAAAGTCATTTGTGAGTCACCCAACATGGTTGCTGGAAGCCAAACTCAGATCCTCTGTAAGAGAAAACACTTTTAACCTCTGAGCCACCTCTCTAACCCTGATTATTTTGATTTTTTTTTTTTTAAGCAACAGTTATTTTCCCTGATCCAAGAACTAGTTGAGATCCTGTTAGCTGTTGAAGTCAGATAGGATGTCTTTTTTCAAATGTAAACTTGTTGTTTCCATGATATTATTCTGATAAATATTCATCTTTTCACTTGTATAGGCAGCCTGCAGTTTTATGGCATAAATTATACAGATAACACCTGTTTCAAAGAGTTTAAGTCTCTTTATTTTCACTCTTACTACATGGGTTTCAGTCTCAAACAAATAAAGTTCTGGGTTCCAATATGGAGCACTAAAATGAGAAGCTTCAGGAGAGTTCTTACATAGGACACCTACAAGATAGTTTGTCTTGTGTAGTGTTAGTTTTGATGGGGCATTCTGAGGACTAAAGGTTTATCTAAAATAGCTTTTGCCTTCTCATGAGCATCCAACATAATAGGTCTTTCACATTCTCTCCCATTTAATAATGAAGAGAAAGCATGGTGGTGTATGCCTTTCATGCCTTTAATTCCAGCACTCGGGAGGCAGAGGCAGGTAGATCTCGAGGCCAGCCTGGTTTACAGAGAGAGTTCCAGGACAGCCAGAGCTACACAGAGAAACCCTGTCTCGGAGAGAGGAAAAAGAAAAAAGGCTTGGAAGCCTTTGGGAGCTTCTAGACTCTAAAATAGTAGGAAATAGACTGTGAGGTAATTTTAGAATCTAGAAAAAGGAAATAAAACAGCTAGTGTTTGGAGAGACTACTCTGTTAGAGTGCAGCAACACTGTTACCACAAATAAGCCCTAAAGGGGTAATGGGGGGAGTCTGGTGGGAGGGGCCTGCCAGAGCCTAGTGACTCTTAGTCCACTTGCAGAGCAGGAATCAGGACACAATCTTCGCAATATGCTGAGTGATAGGAAGGTTTGGGGATATTGTATATCAGGGAAAAATGTCTTTCCACTGTATGAGGAAAGGATTCATACTACTCCATTGGTGATAAGCTATAATAAACATCTTTAAATTGCCTCTATTGCTATAATATACATGACTAAGAAATAAGAAATTTAAGAATACCAGAATATCAAGCTAGCTACTCTATTCTCCTAGGGAATCTGACATTGCCAATGGAAACCAACATTAATCCTAAATGTTTTTAAGCTGAAAGAATTTGCTCTAAGATGTAAGCTCATTGAGCATCTCCTTCTTAGCTCTACAGAATTTGATCTGTGATTAAAATTGAATCAGAGTTTCCCCTTGTCCGTAGCTTCACCCAGAGGATCTTGCAAGGTGATGGCTTGACCTCCTAGCAGTCATCTAGGAATTTCTTTTTTTTTTTTCATTTTTATTTGTTTATTTATTTTTTTTCTATTATCAGCTTAATACACTACAAATTCTTTTTTCCCCTTTTCTATTTTAATAAAAAGAAAAAAGGAAAAAAGTTATAACTAATATAAGAAAAACTATGTACAAAAGTACAATAACTATATACCACATATACAAGCAATAAATACCTAAACAATGTCTAGTCCGATTGTATTTGACAAATTCAGAGAAAATGATTCCATTATCTATCCTATTTTGGTAAGTCCAAAATGTACCTGATTCACTTTCTATCCTAACTTATATTACTAACAGAACTATCTTATAACATCTTTCAAATTTATGCGCTTACACCTCTTTAGTGAGTTTCTTTTCTGAAATTCTTAACAAAGAAAACTATAACTATAACTATCTAATCTTCAACTATAACTAACTAATCTTCAACTCCCTCAGAGACCCAAGAAGGAAGTAATATTACCTAATAAAAAATAAAAACAGGAAGTGCATGTAAGCAGCTTCCAAAATAAATGTGAGTTGACAGAAACAGCCAGCTGCCTGAACAGTCACCTGAGGTTTCTCTACAGCGTAGCACTCGGGAGGCAGAGGCAGGCGGATCTCTGTGAGTTCGAGGCCAGCCTAGGCCACAGAGTGAGTTCCAGGAAAGGCACAAATCTATACAGAGAAACCCTGTCTCAAACAAACAAACAAAAAAGAACACATTGATTTTGGGGAGGGGGGGCAGGAGGAGGGAGGACAGGGGAATCTGTGGCTGATATGTAAAATTAAATTAATTATAAAATTAAAAGAAAGAAAGTAAAGGTAAAAAAAATTGTTTGCCTTTGCCTATTTCCCAACACTCAAATTTAGTGTTTTTGTTTTGTTTCGGTTGAGTTTTTGGAGCTGAAGTCTGAGTTCCCGGGCCTCTTTCTAAGTGTGTAGCTAAGTGTGTAGGTTTTTACTTACTGATTTGTTCCACCTCAGGAAGGGTTAGCAGATAGTGTAGCAGAAGCTAAAGGGCTCAAACCAGACCAATGACTAATAGCAATGAACACTTACAAATAAAGATGAATGGACAAAAGGGTAAACTGACTCACAGAGCAACATTACAGCTTCTACAATGAAATTCTTTTCCTTTTTTGGTTTTGTTTGTTTTTTTGTTTGGTTTGGTATTTGGTTTTTCTTTTAAATTTTGCTTTGTTTTAGGGGGGCAGTTGCATGGGCAGAGGGTGATGCCAGGGGATGGGGAGATAAGTGGGATCGGATGCATGATAGGAAATCCACAAAAAAATTAATTAAAGGTAAAAGAATAATAATAATAAAGCTCTCACTTGCCCTTTTCATTTGTTGAGACAGTCTCATGAACCCTCCTAGTCCTACCTCAGCCTCCTAAGTGCTGGATTTAGAGGTGTGCCTGGCTTCTGTTCACCCTTGTATGTTAATAGATAATTCTGGGCAACAATTGAAAGGTAGCAAGTAATAAAAGAAGAAATTGTTGGGAACCTATAAAATTTTCAAATTGGACTGTTACTAAAATAATTTTGAGCTAAGTATCCATTCATAAAATCTGAGGATGTGGGCATTTTGAATCCACCACATTCAAGAAAGTTATTTGCTTGGCCACAGAGAACTGGCGAGGCTAAAGGTCGTAGAAGTTTGGTCCAAACTGAAATCCAAACTGAAAAATTCTTTTCTTAGAACCAGTCTACAAGGAAGCTGCCTACCCTTCAAGAGTCTGTTTCCTCCGTGGTGCTAGTAAGAACTAGATGAACTGGCAAATGAGAGAGGGCCTGCAGCAAAGGAAGCATGGGCAGGCGGTTATTGGCAAAGCCAGTGTCTGTGACCTAGACACTTCTCTGTCAAGTTGTTGATATCTTCCAAGTACCATAGGCTTTCCCTTCATCCAAAAAAGCTTAGGATGCCACGTGCTAGGTCTCCCCAGGTTAGAGTAGGTAGAGTCTTGTTAATCTTCTGTGCCTTTTCTCTCCCCAGGAAGGATACGGCATTGGAGACGATGAGTACTCCTGTGCCTATGATGGCTGCCGGCAGCTGATTTGGTACAATGCCAGAAGTAAGCCTCATGTGCACCCGTGCTGGAAGGAAGGTATTCATTCTTCACTTGAATTTGTCACCCGGGTTAGGACAGCTAGTTCTTAGCAGGCATTTACTATGACAGGCTTTAAAATATCTTCGTAGGAGATTTAGTATCAGTATCACTGCCAGGATTGTGAATGCCATTCCCTGATAAATTTGCCTATTGTGGCAACCCTTCTGAAGCAAAAACATTTCAGAAAATAAATTCGTAGGGTCTGGAGAAATGGCTCATGTGTAGAAACGTGCTGCTTTTCTAGAGGATCTGAGGTCAGTTTCTAGCACATATGTTGGGTGGCTCCCAAATGCCTCTGACTCTAGCTCCAGAGGAATCTAGTACCTTCTAACATCCATAGGCACCTGCACTCGTGTGCTATTTCTGTGAAGAGACACCATGACTATGGCGACTTTACTGAAAGGCTGGCTTTCAGATTCAGAGATTTAGTATATTATTGTCGTGGTGGGAAGCATGGTGGCATGTAGGCAGACATGGTACTAGAGAAGGAGCTAGGAGTTCTACATCTGGATGGACAGGCAGCAGGAAGAGAGAGTGACGGTGGGCCTGGCTTGAGCTTCTGAAACCTCAAAGCCCACCCCCAGTGACATACTTCCTCTACCAAGACCACATCTGTTCCAGTAAGGCCGCACCTACAATAATGCCATGCCCTATGAATCTATAGGGATCATTTTCATTCAAACCACCACAGCATAATTTAAAACAATAAAACTAAATCTTTAAAAAAAAAAAAAAGTGGCACATGCATTTAATCTCAGCACTCCAAAAGGCAGAGGCAAGTGGATCACTGTGAGTTCAAGCACATTCTGGCCTATATACCTAGTTCCAGGCCAGCCAGAGCCACATAATGAGCTGTCACAATGTAAATAAGTAAACAGTAGTTCAGTGGTTAGGAACACTTGCTGCTGCTCCCGAGAAGCTGATTCCAGTTCCTAGCACCCACATCAGGAGACTTAGAACTGCCAGTAACTCCATCTCTGAGGGATCTGACTCCCTTTTCTGGCTAATACTGACTGACACCTATATTCATGTGGCATATATTCACACAAATGCACATACATACACACGAAATAACATTAAAAAATCTTCTGAAAAATAATACAAATTAGAAAAAAATAATGTAATTCTAACTACAAAAACACAAACACAGCCCTCCTTTAGCAGTCGGTCTGTTTTGGGATAGAGTTTCACTCTAGTGCACACAGCCATAGCAGTCACTCTGTACCGTGCTAGATTACAGGTGCGAATCACTATTCCCACTACTCTACAGTTAAGACAGGGCTGTTTGTAACTCAGTGTGGAGCAATTGCCTACTAATCATGAGACCCTGTTTGATGCCCAGTAACGCAGACACAATTACTGTAAAGTCTGGTTTCCTCTTTGTGTTTGTATTTTGAATTAAAGGGGCCATGGGTATGTTAAGGACATTGGAATTGTTGTGACACTAAAATGAGGATATTTTCAGAAGTAAAGTGGCTATAGAATAGGAATTTGGTAGACACAGGCCATGCTGTAAGTAGGGTCATATGGAATTATGTCCCATACATAAGTAAGGAATGGAACCTCTTTCTTCTCAGGATTGGAGCTATATAAGGAAAGTAGCCTAGCTCTTTCTCCATGCATCCTTCTCTCATTTTCCTATGCTAATCAACATTATAAACTGACATGTCAAGCATGTTAAGAAAGCAGGGGTTTGACCACTCACATAGAACTAAATTGATACTATGGAAAAGGAAATGAATGAGTCTGGGAAAACTAGAAGGGCACCCAGGTTTTTTTGTTTTGTTTTGTCTTGGTTTGGTTTTTTGTTTTTTTGGTTTGTTTTTGTTTTTGTTTTGAGACAGTCTCTCTACATAGTCCTGGCTGTCCTGGAACTCATAGAAATCCACCTGCCTCTGCCTCCCAAGTACTGGGATTAAAGTGTACACTACCATGCTCAGCCTGGGCACCTAGATTTTTGAAGATGTGTAGCTTATACATTTCATAGAGGCACTGTCTTCAAAACTTCTTTTTTCAAGGTAGAGCTCATTGTTTAGTCCTGCCTGGGCTGGCGATGGAACCTGGAGCAGTTCTTCTGCTTTTGTTTCCCAAATGCCAGGGTTAGAGGTGTGTACCACCATGCCCAGCTTCTTAAAAATAAATCAGAACTTAAGGAAATATTTCTGAATGCATTTATTATTTTAAAATTTGAAAAATAGAAAACTGCAAAGCAATTTTAATTCCCCCCCCCCTATCCTCGTCTCTCCCTCCAAACACACACACACACATTTTAGTTAGGGTTTCTATTGCTGTGATAGAATACCATGGCCAAAATCAACTTGGATTTATTTCATCTTCTACTTCCTACTAACAGTCCATCACTGAGGGACCTAGAGGCAGGAACTAAAGCAGAAGTCATGGAGGAATGCTGCTTCCTGGCTTGCTCAGTAGCTTTCTTATACATCCCACACCACCTGCCCAGGAATGGCACCACTTACAAAGGGCTGAGCCCTCTTACATCAAAGAAAATGCCCTATAGACTTGCCTACAGGCCAGTCTGATGTGGGATGCTTTCTCTAATGAGTTTCCTCTTCCCAGATAGTTCCCAGTCTGCACTGTCAGGTTGACAGAGTACAAACCAACTAGGACACACACACACACACACGTGTGTGTGCGTTATGTGTGTGTGTGAATAAACATATATGAATATGTGTGGGTGTTTTGCATTCCTGTATGTTTTTATACCATATGTATGTCTGGTGCCTACGGAGGTCAGAGGGGAAATAGAGTTACAGATGGTCATGAACTACCTTGTGAGTTCTGGGATTCAAACTTAGGTCCTCTTCAAAGAACAGCCAGTGTTTTTTGTTTTTTTTTTTTGGTTTTTCAAGACAGGGTTTCTCTGTGTAACTTTGGAGCCTGTCCTGGAACTCACTTTGTAGACCAGGCTGGCCTCAAACTCACAGAGATTCCCTCCCAAATGCTGAAATTAAAGGCATATGCCACCACCGCCTGGCACAGCCAGTGCTCTTAACTGCTGAGCCATTTCTCCAGCTCTAGAGATTTTTTTTAAGCACTTAAATTGGTATGTATGTATGTATGTATGTATTGTCCATTGTTATGCTTCAATTCCTGAACAGGTTTCTAGGTTATGGAAAATAACACTAGTAGAGCTGGAGATGTAGCCCAGGTGATAGAGTGCTTGTCTACCACATATGGAGGCCCTAGGTTCAGGCTCTAGCACTGAGTAATCTTGGATATAGTGGTGTACCTGGTATTCCCAGGACTCGTGAGGTAGAAGCAGAAGGATCAAAAGTTCAAGGTTATCCTCAGCTACATACCAAGTTCAAGGCCAGCCTGAGCTAGAGACACTGTCAAAAAAAAAAAAAAATCCAGAATAACAAAACATGATTGGCTTGGTATGATGGGATGTACCTGTAATCCTAATATTCAGGAGGCTGAAGCAGGAAGATTTCACATTTGAGACCATCTTGGGCTACATAGCCAGTTTGAGGCCAGCTAAGGCTACATACAAAGATCCTGTCTCAGAAAAATCCAAAAACAAACAAAATAACTTTTAATGCTTTTTAATATTTTACTATAAACTAGAACAAAAAAATCAGATCTCGATTTAGAAGATCAGAGTGAATGTATGCCTTCAAAACAAAAACATTTTTGTAGTTAGTTATCTAGAGAATTTTAAATCTTGCCCGAGAGGCAAATCAGCACATAATTTTATCTTACCCAGCATGTACATTTTTTTTTTCACATTTTAGCATCTTGAAATTAGGATGCATCTTATACAATTGATGCTTGTCATGGTTTAATGGAAGCTTTTTTTCTTTAACGATACATGGACATACTGCTCTGTGAGGGTCAGATAAGCCAGCCGCACAGGAAATAAAGATAAGTGTGTTGAATATGTGGCTTAGTACAGGGCCATTGAGGCCCTTTCAGGATCTGGGTAGCACAAGCCTAACAGTGTTTGGTTTATCTTCTAGGAGACACAGTAGGGTTTCTGTTAGACTTGAATGAAAAGCAAATGATCTTCTTTTTAAATGGCAACCAGCTGCCTCCTGAGAAGCAAGTCTTTTCATCCACCGTGTAAGTAGCTCCTTTCAGTCAAAGATTGAGTAGATTCATGGAATGTACTTTGCTCAAGAATGAAAAACCAAACACCTTTGTTCATTTATCTAAGCAATTATGAGAAATGGGTTTATTTCAGTTACTTAGAGCTCCATTTGGTGGGTCCTCAGTGTACAAGAGTTTGATACAGAAAAATAAAGGTGTCTCCCCTGGCTCACAGACCTGTCTGGGTTAGTAGTCTCTGTCCCGCTTCCCTTTTCCCAGAGTGACCTCCTCACAGTGACTCTGCATGTGACCTTGCTTCTTCTGTGAATGCTGCTGACCTCTGTGCTCACTGTTTTGTAGATCGGGATTTTTTGCTGCAGCTAGTTTCATGTCCTATCAACAATGTGAGTTCAATTTTGGAGCAAAACCATTCAAATACCCACCATCTATGAAATTTAGCACTTTTAATGATTACGCCTTCCTAACAGCTGAAGAAAAGATCATTTTGCCAAGGTAAGAGTATGCCCAGGCTCCTTCCAGACCCATCTCATGGAAAATCATAACAGCTTATGGGAGATTTTTTTTCAGCATTGAACAAGTAATTTTGAACAAGTAATCTCACTGAAAAGGTTGACTTTTTGGGAAATATAAATTAGTAAAACAGATCCCAGAAAGATATATATAAACACCAATACTGACCAGGACATAGTGTAAAATTATTTGAAAACAAAAATTGAAAGCTTTTTCTGACAAAAGCAGGTGGTTTTACGAGATCTCCCTCTATCAAATTGTGAGTGATAGCTTCATTATTATTTAAAGCAGCAGTTCTCAACCTGGGGGTCAAAGGACCCTTCTGTAGGGGTCACCTAACACCATTGGAGAATGCAAAAGTTACGAAATAGCAATGAAAACCATTTTATGGTTGGGGGTCACCGCAACATGAAGAACTGTATTAAAGGGTCGAAGCGTTAGGAAGATTGAGAACTACTAATTTAAAGTATTATAGAACCAAGAGGTTAATGTAAAAATCAGAAAAGGGGGTTGTGGATTTAGCTCAGTGGTAGAGTGCTTGCTTAGCAAGCGCAAGGCCCTGGGTTCGATCCTTAGCTCCGGGAAAAAAAAATCAGAAAAGGTCTGGTATGTGACACTAAATCCCAGCACTTGGGAGGCAGAGGTAGAAGAGGTAGAATCATTGTGAGTTTGAAGCCACCCTGGTCTCAGAAGAGAGAGCCTGTCTCAAAAAATAAAAATCAGAAAAATAGAACACATTCTCACACACACACACACACACACACACACACACACACACACACACACACAAATGCAAACTAACTTCACTGGAATATCTGTATAAGATATTAAGATATTAAATCCTTAATATTGGAAAATCAGTACTTCTGTTAACAGATTTGATTTATTGAAACCAACTCCTTTTGGGTTTAAACTGCATAGCAAACATGCTAACACTATTCTACAGCCATTAACACAAGGAAAGCCATCTTAGGTAAAATTTCTTTGCCCTTATTTGACAGAAACTGACACTGGCCTTGTCTCCCTGAGTGAATGTCTGCTTGTCTTCCTTATAAGATGAATATAGTCTGTTCCTTTAGCTAGGGAGAGACTCCAGTGGCTTCCTGGTAATCACTGCATGTTGAAGCCTGTTACACATTGTGAGTTAAAGTTTATCATTTTTTAACAGGGCAGCTGCCTGGACCAGTTTGGGGTAGGGGATTCATATTACTAGTGTTATATCAATAAGATAGACACTCATCCGTCGAGGAGATCATACTGGCCAGGATGTATCTTGTATTAAACCATATGTAATACCCATAAATGTAACTATAATGCAGGGAAATCCTGGCTTCTGTTTTGAAGCAAAACATAGGTATGTAAGCAGCCCTCTTTCTTTACCTTATACCCTGTCTTAGTGACTCAGCGGTTTCAGATGAATAGAACATGTCTCAGTAGGAGTAGCAGAGCCTTGGCAGTATTCTAAGACTATAAAGGCCACTTGCTATGTGTTCAGGCATCTGAGATTTGTTCCTTAGGGCTTCTGTGCAGTTTGTCTTGGTGCTTGACAGAGATTGTGAACTTTGCTCTTGGTGAAAGTCTGAGGTGACACTCCCTCCATCTGTCATACCCCAGTCCTTTGTTTGTCTGCCTGCTTTTTCCTGGAGTGAGGCTCATCATTCATCTGAAGGGCACAACTGATCCATCTGTGAGTTCCCCTGTTTCTTCAGGGTTAAACTTCCCAGAATAGGGCTGAGAAGTCATCTTTTATGGCCAGTTTATGCTTATCAATTTGGTGACTGAATATTCATATAACACTCAGAGTTTGTCCTGTCTTGACTAAGAACAACAGATTACAAGTTAGTTCAGTTCATTCTGAATCTAGACTTTGATGTCCCTGACAGTGACACAGAGGAAGTTATTGATAAAGGCTTGGCCGTGCAGGCCTATAATCCAAGCTACTACAGAAGCTGAAGCAGGAGGATTGCAACTACTACCTGGAATTTTGTTGTTTATATTATGTTTATTCTCTATTCTCTTCATGTATTTTATTAACCTCTTTATTATGCTAAATTCAAATACATTCAAAATTTTAAAAGAATCGTACAGTGAAGCACATACATCCTTAGCTATGGTACTGAGCCACAATGACCACTGCTTCTCCTGTGGCCTTCCCTCATCTATCTGTTAATAACCCTATTTCCATTCCAGTTTCTCTGTTGGCTATTGCCTAGAATGGTCTCTAGACAGCAAGGCTCAATTCCCCCATGGCCCTCACAAGTCTACTAAAGTTTGCTTAGTGAGGCCCTCCTTGGCTGCCATTATCCTAACCCCAATGCCTCTCAACCTGTGAGCACTCCTTTCCTCTTTCCCAGTTGATTTTCTGTCGTGGTATTCATCAGCCTTTAACGTTCTCATTTTTAGTTCTGTCTCCCCCACTGCCACTCTAGAGCTTAGGCTCGATGAAAACAGTTTCTTCTTTCTATTTGTGTGCCCTAGAGTTCAGGCTGCCCTGGTCTCACGGAGGTCCCCTACCCTAGCTTCCCAAATGCTGATTCTAGCTGTGTGCCACCATGCCTAGCTAAGGACACTTATTTGGTCTCCTGTTCACTGTTGAATTGCCCACGCTTGGAGTAGTGCCAGGAGCATAGCAAGCCCAGGAGTGAACTTGAGGGGAGCAGTTCTTCCTGTCTGCTTTCCTGTCTATGCTGAATGGAAGTGTAGTGGAAGAGTTCAACCTTCAGGTGTCTAAAAGTCATAGATCACTTGTCCTTGTGTGAAAACTGTGGGTGTTTTCCCTGGGAAAGGCTTGTGCTTTTCACCAAATTCTCAATATATGTGACTTAAACAGTTGAAATTTGCTGGTAAAAGAACACTTTTGGACTTAGAACCAAAGGATTTGAATTTGATTTCTGTATATTAAGTTTTATGTAAATCATCTCATTGAACTTTAATTTTTTTTGTCTATAAAATGATGGTCAAGCCTCCTTCACTCTGCTAAGACTGAAATGTGTGAAAACCTTATTGAACAAAGATTGTAGAGTGTGTTTTCCCTGTGAACGGCTTCCTGAGAGCATTTAATGTGCCCCACTGCTAACTGACTCCTTGTTGACCAAATGAATTTCATACTGCTTTGTCTGCTCAGGCACAGGCGCCTCGCTCTGCTGAAGCAAGTCAGTATTCGAGAGAACTGCTGTTCGCTCTGTTGTGATGAGGTAGCAGACACACAGCTGAAGCCATGTGGACACAGGTGAGAGGGGCTGCTTGTGGGATCATCTTCCACAGATCACATTCAGCAGCATTGCATACTGCTCTTGAGTGACTTCTGGGGTATTAGCAGGTCCATAACTGTTCATCAGGATTATTAAATTAGGGGCTGGAGAGATGGCTCAGAGGTTAAGAGCACTGGCTGTTCTTGCAGAGGACCTGAGTTCAATTCCCAGCACCCACATGGCAGCTCACAACCATCTGTAGTGAGATCTGATGCCCTCTTCTGGCCTGCAGGGATACATGCAGGCAGAATACTGTATACATAATGAATAAATAAATCTTAAAAAAAAAAAAAAAAGAAAAGAAAAGAAAAAAAAAGAATTATTAAATTATTAGCACTATAGTGGGCTGAATGAGAAATTAAGTTGCCAAGAAGGATCTGCTACCTTCCAGAAAGTACCTGAAGTACCTGCTATTTGATATGGAAAGCCTAGTTTTTGAATTTTTGCTTTTTGTTTATTCAGATAAACACATACACACAAATATATTGGGCGGGAGGATGTTCAAGACAGGGTTTCTTTGTGTAGCTTTGGCTGTCCTGGGACTTGCTCTATAGACCAGGCTGACCTTGAACTCACAGAGATCTGCCTGCCTCACAGAGCTCTCGCTTGTGCCGGGATTAAAGGCATGTGCTACCAAGCCTGACTTATATTTTGTATATAATTTTGGCTTTACAAAATGTGAAAGGCAGCCGGGCAGTGGTGACACACGCCTTTAATCCCAGCACTTGGGAGGCAGAGCCAGGCGGATCTCTGTGAGTTCGAGGCCAGCCTGGTCTCCAAAGCAAGTTCCTGGAAAGGCGCAAAGCTACACAGAGAAACCCTGTCTCAAAAAAAATAAAAAATGTGAAAGGCTTAATGCTATTTGTAAGCTTCTTGGGAAGTTACTTAGAGGTTACCTCCTTACCATCTTTTTTCACTCCTAGCTGTTGAAAAAGTGCAGCTTCCCTACCATCTCACCAAATTTCAGCTCTGTAAAAGGAACTTACAGGACATCCTGGATCCTGTAGGACAGTGTCTTAGCAACACCAGGGAAGCAAATAAGCTGGTCTTTCCTGAGAAAGCCATCCTGGCCAATATTAGAAGGTGTGAGTAGTATAGCAGCCTCTGCCTTTTACACATGCTGACAGCCTGTGAGCAACACTCATGCTGACAGTACAAGCTTCTTGTATCCATCACATGCCAATACTGTGTGTTTCTGTGGTTTTTGACCAAACTTTGACCACCTTATTGCCCGGTGTCTTGACCCTAGAATTATGGACCACAGTTTGCCATCACAGGAGTGATTCAGCCTGGATCGTTGACCCAGGGTGTTCTGAAGCAGGTTGTCCCCAATAGACTGTTAGAAGTGCAGTGTGTTTCCTTTCACCCTTAGTTATGGAAGTTTCACTTCTGTAGCCCAGAATTTCTCAGATTGAACAAACACCTTTGCAGGATTTTGTTATCAGGGCCTTACAGATAGATACAGAATTTACCATCTTTGTTTCCAAATAGTAGGATCTGATCTTCATCTTTGAGCCCTTTGGTCCTTCCTATGGTTTGGGGGGGTTTTGTTATTGTTTTAAAAGATTTTATTATGTATGTATGCCTGCAGTCGAGAAGAGGGCACCAGATCTCATTACAGATAGTGTGAACCATCATGTGGTTGCTGGGAATTGAACTCAAGACCTCTGGAAGAGCAACCAGTGCTCTTAACTGCTGAGTCATATCTCCAGCCCCTTTCCTATGGTTTTTTTAAACACAATTTAGGAGTCATTGATAAGGGCTAGTGTGTAAAGACTTAGAACTAATTATCCTGAATATGTGGTCATAGTTTCTACAACATCCAAAACAGAGTTGGAAAGAAAACTAAAAGAATTACAAGAATATTTAGCTCAATCCAGTTAGATGGTATAAAGGCTGTACCTTTTCAATACTAGGAGTGTAAAGAAGTTAAACTAAATATTCTTACATCTTGGAGGGTGATAGTGAAGAAAAGAAATCAGGATAAAATAAATGATGAGACCTGACCCCTAGAAGAGACTGAAAATGAAACCACTCCTCTTATCTAGGAAGTGGTATGGTTATGAAGTCCGCCATTGCCTTTCCTCCCAAAGACACTAACAGAGAGTTTCACTGGTGAATTTCTTATAATTTTCAGGGAGAAGTATCCAAATCTTTCTAAACTTCTCTCGGTCACTAGCAAAATAAATCCACAGCACTATTTTTACAAAATCTGCATGGCAACACACTAAAAGCTGAGAAAGAAAGCATGTGGTGGCTCACAGCCATCTCTAGGCCAGCAGATCCCACGCCTTCTAACCTCTGAGGGCACCAGGCATGCAAGTGGTGCACAGAAACATGGACATACAGGGGAAACGCCAAAAATAAGTCAATCTAAAACAATTCCTAATAAATCAAGTAAGAACAGATAACAATTGCTCAAATTCCTTAAAATGTTTTCTGGCTAAATGCTAGCATCTTTTTGTGTTGTCTTTGGGTTGTGCAGGGATAGAACCCAGACCCTCACACATGCTAGGCACTGAGCAATGCCTAACATTTTTCTTTATTTCTTTTTTCTTTTGAAAATTGTGTTTGTTTTTGAGATGAAGTCTTGCTATAGAGCCCAGGCCGTTCTGCCTCAGCTTCACAAGTGACACTGTGCGTGTGACCACAGAGTGACTGGCATCTTTTTAATAGTGACATGCAAAAACATGCTAAGATGTTGGGGACAAGACAGAGATGCTTGTTCCTGCCACTTTGATTTACAGCGTAAGCCAGCACCTCTTCTTACTGTGTGCATAAGCACCAGCCTGTTCGTTGATCCGTTTGAAAGTCCTTTTTATACTGGCTTAGGAAAAAAGCAGAAAAGTAAGAATGCAGCCAAGAAGTTTGTTGTGCTTCTGTAAAGAAGCTAGGAGGGCTGGAGAGATGGTTCAGCAGTTAAGAGCTCTTCTAGAGGATCCAGGTTCAATTCCCAGCACCCACATGGAAGCTCACAACTATATGTAACTCTAGTTCTAGGAGATCCATTGCCCTCTTCTGGCCTCTGCAGGTGCCGCACATAGTACACATACACAAAACATTTTTAAAAACTGAAAGTCTAACTGTGCAACGGTGGTGCACACCTTTAATCCAGCACTCAGGAAGCAGAGACAGCTGGATCTCTGAGTTTGAGGCCAGCCTGATTCCAGGACAGCCAGGACTGTTACACAGAGAAACTGTCTCTTGTCTTATCCAGCCTTGATAGGAGGGTTTGTGCCTAGTCTTATTGTAACTTCTTAAGCCATGTTCAGTTGATATCCCTAGGAGCCCTGCTCTTTTTTTTTTTTTAAGGGAAATGGAGGAATAGTGGATCTGGGGAGAGGGGAGATGGGGGAAGGCACTAGGAAGAATGGAGGGAGGGGAAACTGCAGTCAGGATGTAATGTATGAGAGAAGAATTTTAAAGCACTGAAAATCCAATATATAATAAAGTCATTTATTAGTCATTATTCATTAATTTATTAGTCACATATTATATAATAAAGTAACATCTGTGGCAAAAGATGTATTTAGTAAATATTACTGGGATAAATGACTAGCTGATGGGGAAAAATAGCATATATCCCTGAACGTATACACACACACACACACACACACACACACACACACACACACACACACGTGTGTGTGTGTGTATGTGTCTTTGTATATATAATTTGTACATATAGGTTTTCTTGAAAAATGAACTTTTTATTTAACTCACAGAGGAGGAAGATTGAGGATCAAAAATAGGAGGGAGATTTAATTTTTTTTTTTTTTTTTTTTTGGTTTTTCGAGACAGGGTTTCTCTGTGTAGCTTTGCGCCTTTTCCTGGAACTCACTTGGTAGCCCAGGCTGGCCTCGAACTCACAGAGATCCGCCTGGCTCTGCCTCCCGAGTGCTGGGATTAAAGGCGTGCGCCACCACCGCCCGGCGGAGATTTAATTTTTATTTATATATTTTCTTCATGTTATTTTCCAAACCATGCATAATATGTATGCTTTCTCCAAAAGACTTGTTAGCATTTTAGATTTAACTGGTAGGTAGAGTTTGGCCTTTTAAAGCATTAACTTAACTGGCATTTGTATCTTTTTCTTCAGCGACCTGTGCATGGATTGTGCCTTGCAACTGGAGACCTGCCCATTGTGTCGTAAAGAAATAGTGTCTAGAATCAGACAGATTTCTCATATTTCATGACACATGTGAAGAGATATCATGGACATATTTCTACTCAATTCCAGCAATGTTGAAAAGAAAAGGAAAAAAAAAAAACACAAACATCTCTAACCAGTTGTACGCACATTGAAACTTATAGCCATGGCCAGATTTTATGCTAAAATTGGTAGTTTGTCAAAGACAAATTCTCTTAGAATCTAATCCAACTTGCCAGCCCTGAATTCCTTTGAGGCCAAGGAAGGCCGAATGTCAGCAACTGGGGCTGTGGTACGCCTATGAAAAGAACAGGCGACAAGGGCCTCCTGAGTGCTGAGACCACGCCCGAGTTCTTCATGTTGGGCTCACTCGGTTGTTTAACACAAGGTGTTTCGTGTCTTAGTCTACGGTTTTTATTTGGGGTGAAGTCACTTTGCAGAAGTAATTGACAGCGTGTCTGGGTTAAGCGTCATTGGTCAGAGAAACCCTGGTGTGTTAAGCATGGATATTGCACTGCAAGACTTGAATCTGTAAACGTAGCATTACACAGGTCATTACTTCAAGCAACATGGAGATCCTGAAAGAAGGTGCACAGACTGTAGGGGAAAAAAAAACAATTTTTTTTTATATTTCAGTGATTCCAAAGAACATTCTAATTTTTTTAAACTACAGAAAATTGGTGGTATTTTCACATTCATGGTGTTTCTATCCAGCTTCAGTACCCACATTTTGTGAGGAGATGTGTTTTACCAATGCAGGAGAAACTCTTAAACCAATTGCAATGTTAGACTGGAGAAAATTTGTTAGTTAGTGTATCTTTGAGGTACCATCAAATCAGGTTTTTTTTGTTTTTTGTTTTTTTTTGGTTTTTATTTTTTAAAAATTTTTTAATCAGTATTGTTTTTGGAAGTAATATACTTTGAAACGCTTGAATTAATAGTCTCTAGAGAACAGTCTGAGAACATAGATCCTGTTGTTTTAAATAAATATATGTTTTTGAATAGCAAGTTCAATCATGAATTGTTGACTCTGTCTTCATCAAAAGTGTTTTATATCCCTCTCAGGGTCTCTGGTGAAGGCCTTCAAGAGTTCACTTTTTTCTCCCAGAAAATTGGAAGGTAGAATTGTAAATTTTTAAGACTTATTTCATAATGGTGTACCTCAGCAACTGCCTTTCAATTTATGCCAAGTCCTTACTGAGTTTATACTTGAACAGTGGATGTCTTCTGAGTTTTACAGTGTCTTAAACTCACTGCACATTCTTTTCCCTCTTTCTTGTTTGTAGTTCATTAAACCTGTCCTACCACGGAGGTGACTCCTTCCTGGCTGTACTTGCTGGGGTGCTGGATTTTTCCATGTCTTGCTAGTCTTCCATAAATCCGAATATATATATGTGTGTGTATATATATATATATATATATAAGTATATATACAGATAGTTATGTGTTCTCCTCTTCAGCTTGTGGTGAATGCAGTAATTTGCATTGAAGAATAAAATATCTGTTGCATTTTTTACTCTAAGACTTCACAGCTCTCATTGGTGTCTTCTACTAAAGCTTCTACTCCTTAGGGTAGGAGAGAACCAAGTGTAAGAACTAAGGAAGAAAGTTGGGCCTGTATCACCAGCACTGAGAAGGCTGAGACTGGAAGATTTACATGAGTGTGCAGCTAGCCTAGGCTGCTACGTAGTGAGTTCCAGTCAGGGCTGTGTAGCCCTGGATCTTTAACTCAGTGGTAGATTACTGCCTGGCATGCTCAAGGCCCTGTGTTCCTTCCCTGGAACCTCAAAGGAAAAGAAAATTAAGAACTAAGTTTAGCCAAGTATGATGCATGCCTTTAGTCCCAGCACCTGGGAGGCAGAGGCAGACCAGTCTCAGAGTTCCAGGACAGCCAGGACTATATAGTGAGATCTTGTTTAATTACATATCCATCAAATAGCCCTTCACTGATAGGCTACAATAGGTGCTTTCACTGTGCCTGTGTGGCTTGTCAGACATTTCTTTCAAAGCAACAGCAGGAAGAGGCAGTGTAATTTCTGTGTACTGTGCTAATTTGCTAGTGCCATGAAGAAAAAAAATATGTTGCCCAGAACAGAAGTACGTAGATATGGGGAGAATGAGGCAGAACTACTTTAGATATTTGGCTAACATGGATAGGGAAAGTTGTCAGAAGAAAACTAAGGGAGACATAAGGATGTAGCCAGGCAGAGGGTCTGAGGACAGGCTTCTCGAACTGGGTATCTAGGTGGTCATAGCATTGTGGGCAAAGGTCCTCATTAAGGAAGAAGGTTGGTACAAGGAAGACAGGAAGGACATGGTGGGAATAGCATGCTCTGTTGCAGGAGGTCAGGAGCTGCTTATGAAGTGTGCTAAGGCGTTTGTATTTCCTCCTAAGAACAATAAGAAGGCAATGGTGTTTATCAAGCTTGGAAGTTCCTGCATAGTGTCCTTAGAGGATGGCTCTGCCCTCTGTTTGGGAATGGAATAGAAGAGTAAGTGGGTTGGAGCTAGGAAAGCAGAAAATCTAAAACGGGCCGAAGGACTGCAGGAACCCGCCAGCTTTCTAGAAATTTCCCCTTGAACTTTGCTCCTAAAGTGGCCTGCTTTTCCAGGTTTTAACTTTGAGACTATAAAACAGAAGAGCTTTAGTAGCGAACTGATAAACCATTCAGGATGGAAGCTAATTTATCTTGAAGCTACTTTAAAGGGGTACATACTGCACATAGAGAAGAAAAAAATGGGTTGGTAAGCCACATGCAGATACTGAATCAGAGGGGGGGAAAAAGCCTGTTACAGCATTTCCCCAGTGATTCCTTCAGGAAGTTTAGAGTTTGGGCCAGAAAAATTAGTGAATTGCCATCTTCTTTTGGTGATGTAAAGCAGGAAAAAATCCTGGTGCCATTTGCAGAGTTCCAGGAAATAATGATTGAGCCGCAGAAACTGAAGACTTCGGCAGTAGAAAATGATATTTATGATTTCAGCCATCTTGAATATGTATCCTTAAACAAACCAGCTTTTTCCAATAGTGTCCACTATCTATCTTGTGCTACTGCTTATTCACTTAGGAAATATATATATAATTTTTTTATGAGTATATATAAACTTTTGGTTTTGAGGCAGGGTCTCACTGTGTAGCTCCTACTGGCCTGGCCTAGGACTGGCTGTGTAGACCAGTCTGGCATGGAACTCAGAGATCCCTCTGCCTCTGCCTTCAAAGTGCTGGAATTAGGGGCTTGGAGAGATGGCTTAGCATTGGCAATTCTTCCAGAGGTCCTGAGCTCAATTCCCGGCAACCACATGGTGGCTCACAATCATCTATAATGGGATCTGATGCCCTTTTCTGGCGTGCAGGTGTACATGCAGATAGGGTACCATATACATAAAATAAATAAATCTTTTTTTTTTTTTTAAAAGTGCTGGAATTAAAGTTTTGTACCACCACTCTGAGTAGGAACAGTTTTTGTGTTTTGTTTTGTTTTTATGTTTGTTGTTGGGTTTTTTCTTTTGGTTTTTTGTTTGGTTGGTCTTTGATAGGGTATGCCTGTGTAGCTTTGGATGCGCTAGGACTCACTCTGTAGACCAGACTGGCCTCAGACTCAGAGATCTACCTGCCTCTGCCTCCCAAGTGCTGGGACTAAAGGTGTATGCTACTACACCCAACAGAATAGTTTTAATGTAGCTAGTTGTGGCAGCTTATGCCTATAATGCCAGCATTTTAGGGGCAAGAGGTTTACCATGAGTTTGTAGATAGCCTAGATTACATTGTGAGTTCCAGGCCAGCATGGGCTACAGAATAAGATCCTATCTCAAAAAACTAAAGACAGACTAGAAAGATGGGTCAACAGTTAAGAGCACTGGTTATTCTCCAAGAGGACTTAGGTTTGATTCCCAGTACCCACATGGTGTCTCACCCCACATGGTGTCTCACGACCATCTGTAACTCCACTTCCAAGTGACCCAACACACCCACTTCTGGCCTCCCTCAGCCAACAGGCATGCATATGGTGCAGAGACATATGCAAGCAAAACATCCATACACATAGAATACATTTTTGAAAGTTATTTTTAATGAAAAAGTGCTGGCAAGATGCTCATTCAGTAGGCAAAGGCTCTTTGCCAGGCCTAATGACCTGAGTTTGATCCCTGGTATCCATATTGTAGAAGGAGAGAACCAACTCCTGCAAGTTGTCCTGACTTTGTGCATGCACACATATACAAATAAAATGTAATTTTTTTAATTAAAGGAAAAAAGCAGGGATTTTTGTTTGCTGGATTTTCTTTTAGACCAAGTCTCACTATGTAACCCTGAATAGGGCTTGAACTCACAGAGATCCTCCTGCCTCTGCCTCCTCGGTGCTGAAATTAAAGGCACATGCCACTCTACTCAGCTTTTTTTAAAGAAAAGGATGTTGAATCTAGAGCTAGAGTTCAAGGACCTCATATGGGTGCTGGGAACTGAACTCTGGAAGAGCATAAAGTACCCAACCTATGAGCCATCTCATCTCTCCTGCCTGGAAGGCTGGTTTTGTTTTTTAAGATTTGATTTTATGCAGGGAGGTGGTCACGAACACCTTTAATCCCAGCACTTGGGAGGCAGAGGCAGGTAGATCTCTGAGTTCAAGGACAGCCAACACTACACAGAAAACCACAGACTTTTGCCCAAAGCCTCTGCTTCCTGTCTCTCTGTGTGTGTGGAGGGGTGTTTTTGTTTTTTGACAGGGTCTCATATAACCTGGCTGGTCTAGAACTCCATAGACCAGACTGGCCTCAAACAGAGATCTACCTGCCTCTGCCTCCCAAGTGCTGAGGTTAATGGTGTGCTTCACCATGCCCAGCAGAAATACTTGCTCTTGAGCCCAGTTGCTGTTGTGTGAGAAAACCCAAGCATCTCCAGAAAGCCCATGTAGAAAGGAACCTCAGCAACCTCACCTAACCCCAACCCCAACTGCACCCCAGTCCTCACCAACTCCTATCCCTGGGCCACCACTAAGTTGCCTCCTACCTGAGCTCTGTGAAAGGCTTCTCAAACTCCATTGCAGCCGTACTAAATGACACCAATGGAACAAAGGCTAGTTGTCCTTGCCAAGCCCTTCCCAAAACACAGATTAATGAGTAAACTATTTGTTTTAGTCCACTAGGTTTCTTGGGGAAGGAGAGGTGGTAAATAGCAACAGGTAACTAATAGAGACAAAATTAAATTTCATTCCTTTCCTGCTCAAGTCCTGAAACAACAGCAGGCAAGTTTGTGTACCACAGAAGGAAGTTGATACAGAGAAAGTGTGTTATAGGACCTTGGGTTTGACTAGTGATTGATTGTAATGAGTCTTTTTCTGTCCTACCAGCCAGCTCCCAAATAATGACACAGAGACTTCTTAATTATGAAAGCTCGGCCTTAACTTAGGCTTGTTCCACCAGCTCTTACACCTTAAAGTAACCCATGTACATTAATCTACATTTTGCTTCATGGCTTTTTACCTTATTTCCATACTGCCCATCCTGCTTTTCCATGTGTCTTGCCTCTGGAGTACCTAGATTCCTCCTCTTTCTCTGCCCGGAAGTACCACCTATACCTCCTGCCTAGCTATTGGCCATTCAGCTCTTTTTTAAACCAATCACAACAGTATATCTTCACATAGTGTACAAATATCACAGAACAGGTTGATGGAACAGAATTTTTAGATGCTTGTCATCCTGGTTTATCAGAACTGTGACAAAATACTGACCAAAGCCAGTTTGGGGGAGGAGAGGGTTTATTTTGCTTCCACTTATGGACCATGTCATAGTCCATCATTGAAGGAAGTTGGGACAGGAACTCGCTGCAGGAACCTGGAGGCAAGAACTGAAGTAGGTAGACAAAGAAATGCTACTTACTGGCTTGTTTCTCTGTAGCTTGCTCAGCTTCCTTATATAAGCCCACACCTGCCCACCCACAGGGGCCTGGGCCCTCCCACATCAATCATGTCAAGAAAAGAATCCACAATCAAAGCCGGGCACTGATGGCCCACGTCTTTAATCCCAGCACTTGGAAGGTAGAAGCAGGTGGATCTTTGAGTTCAAGGCCAGCCTGTTCTACATAGTGAGCTCCTGGCCAACAAAGGCTACATACTGAGATCCTGTCTCAAAAAATAATAAAATAATAGTAATATGGGAAAAAATAATAGTAATATGAGAAATCAGTCCCAGGAAATTCATTTTCACCGTGTGACGGTTTTTGAGGGGACTTTTGCCCGAGCAAAGTTATTTAATTTCTGATTATTTGGCTTCAAGTGGTTGTCAACGTTTTCGTACTGCATTAATTATCCAAGAAGCCATTTACTGTCTAATAATTGGTTGTTTCTGGTTTTCTTGTGTTTATTGAGAAGAAGTCTCTCTTCACCTAAGCTGACAGCAAGGAAACTTTGTAGCTGAAGCAGGTCTTGAATGCTTCTAACCGCTTGCCTCCACCTTCCAAAAGGTGGGACTTCATACTCATGCCATCACTCCACTCTTGCTTTTGATTTGAAGAATACAAGTTAAATTACAAGACATCCATTTGATGCCCTGGAATCTTTCATATTTCCAAGAAGTAACTTTCTGGTAAATCAGACATCTGCTTTATCTGGGACAAAATATGATAAACGAGCAATTTGGCCGTCTCCGGCGCTCTTAAAATACCCTTTCAACAACATAATCTTTACTACCCCTAAGTTACAAGTGAAGAAACTGAGGCTCTTGGCTCCCATCGCTTCATCTGCCAACCAGAAACAGCAAGACTCCACACACAGGTTGCCACCATTTTGCAACCCTCTGCGTGAGACCCGAGAACCGGGGGCTGTGATTGGCTGCTGAGGTAACCATGGTGACGGAAGGCGGGGCTGCGGCGGACCGCGGGCCCTAACAGACTGGCGGGGTGGCCCCGCGATAGGCGGGCGGGCGCAGGGCCCAGCCGGGAGCCTCAGCCCCGGCCTCGCGCGATCGCCGGGCGGGGCACGGGCGCGGCCTCCTGCGGGCCCTTGATGCGGTTGAGGCGGTGAGGACCACGGCGGAGCCCGGCCCGGCGGCGGGTGCGGTAGGAGGCGGCGGGGCCGCGGGCCCGGGCCGGTGACTGCGGCGCCCTTAGGATGGACGCCCTAGAAGAAGAGAGCTTCGCGCTGTCCTTGTGAGTGACGCCTCCGGGGGCGGGCGCGGGCGGGCGGGCGGGCGAGCCGGCCGGGGCTGGGGCTCCGCTCTAGCCGGGCGTTTCTTACCCGCGGCCTCCGCGGGCCTGTGTCACCGATTACCTGCGCGTCCGTCACAATCCTCTGGCCTGAATCTTGGCCGTCAACAAAACCTCGGGCCTTGAGCTGCCAGGACTGGCGGCGGCCTTACCGCCCGTCTCAGGCCACTCCTGATCCAGTTACCGACCCTCTAGGCCGGTGCTCCTCCGGTGGTCACACTCACCACCAACAGATAGACCTCTCTGGCCTAAGAGCCAGGATGCGGTGAGTAGATCCCGTGGGTAATAAATGCGGAAGTCTAAAGATGTGCCACGCCAGCCTCACCTCCCCGTATTGTTTGTTTCTTTTGTGATTGCCATACCTAGGGTTTGCTCACGGGTGTTTTTCCTGTATTTGAAATTTCTAAGCTAGACGGTAATCCTTGACTGCTGAAACTGAGTGATGGGTGGTTCATCTTGCGATTATTTTTATGCACGTTGGAAAATTTACATTAAAAAAGGTCATGGACTTTGTTGTTGTGATTGCCTGTGATGCACAAGGCCTTGTGTACAATCCCCATCCCCACAGAAAACATAAATTCAACTTGTAAAATAATTATTTGAACTAGCACCTAATCCTGATGTGTTTTTAGCTCCTCCGCCTCTGATGCAGAATTTGATGCTGTGGTTGGGTGTTTAGAGGACATTATTATGGGTAAGTTTCCACACCACCAAGTGACCCCTCTAGTTCCTTAAGTCTTATGTAGATAGACCCTTGCTTTAAAACAATTTTTTAAGTTGTATTCATCTATGTGTGTGATTGGGGTCAGGGAGTTTCCCAGGCTACTAGGCACAAGTGGAGGTCAGAAGACAACTTTGTGGCGTTGGTTCTCCCTTTCCACCTTTATGTGGGTTCTGAGGGTTGAACTCGGGTCACCAGACTTGTTATAGCAGTGCCTTTAGCCACTGAACCATCTCAACAGCCCAAACCTTTGCTTATAAGAACATGCAAAGAAATAAAGTTGAAGAGTTAATTTTTAAAACACAAAACATCAAGATACACCAAAATTTTAACACAGCACAATGTAATAGTAAGCAAGCCATACTAAGATTTGTCTTAGAAACAGGTAGGGTCAGCTAGATGGTTCAGTGGGTAGAGGCACTCACCAGCAAGTCTGACAATCCTTGTTTAGTCCCCAGAATCCACAAGGTGGAACTGGCTCCCGAAAGTTGCCTTCAGACATCCATACACAAACAAAATAAAAATATAATTAAAAAAGAAAGAACCCAAAACCTAATATGTAGCACACCTCTATTATCTCAGCACAGGTAGGCGGAGGGTGGGTGGCGGTGTCCCCAGGTCCTGGCTCTGCTCTGTAAGATCCAGTGCTTTTTAAATAATAACCATTGATTCAAGGTCTCAGAGGAGACAGATTCTGAAAACCTGCCTGGTGGGTAGGGCAGAGCTCTCGGCAAGGCTTCAGGAAATGTTAACCAACTTTATTTCACATATACAATAAGGGCAGTTTTGGATTGTTTTGAGCTTTAACATTTTCATGCTGTAGAACAGAACATGAACCATGACCCTGTGCAACACTTGTCCATGCAAAAGACAAGGCATCTAATCTCCTTGGATCTCTGTTTTCTTTTCTTGTTGCTGCTGCTATTTAGTTTTTGTTGGTGCTGGTGTTTTTGAGACAGGGTTTCTCTGTGTAGCCCTGGCTGTTCTGGAACTCGCTCTATAGACTAGGCTAGCCTCCAACTCAGAGATCTGTCTGCCTGGGATTAAAGATGTAGGCCACTACCAATGACTTGGATCTCTATTTTCTTGATGTGTTTTGTTGGTTGGTTTTGTGTTGAGAGTTTTGCTTTTAGGGTCTCACGTGCAGGCCAGCCTTGAGCTTACCATCTCTTGCCTCAGCCTCTAGTGCTAGGATTGAAGGCATGAGCCAACATACCCCCCCTGTTTCCTTAACTTCTTGGTTCCTGTTTCTGCATCCCTTTGGGCATCTGTCTATTCTACTAAGTGACCAGAAGGCAGTAATAAATCCAAAGTTGAAGGCAAATAGGTAGGAAGGGAGAACTAAATTGGACAAAATTTTGACAGTTTACCAATTTTTCTAGCAGTTAGGAAAAGACCCTGCTGTCTTATTTTTGGGTATGTGACTTAACCCCGGGTTAGTCTGAAAAACCACTAACAACACTTTTGAACTTTTACCTCCCATGTCTCACCAGAAGCTCTCTCCTGATGAGTTTTTAGTTGTTTTGTTCACCATGGACATCCTGCCTGTTGTGGAGAGATGAGCTTCCTCAAGTCTGGGTCACTTTTGAAGGTGTCCTTCTCCTTGTAGAAATGCTAGTGGGTTCCTTGTCAGAATTCCCTCCTCCCTGACCTCGAGTGTTTGCTTCGAATCTACCTGGACTCTCCTCTGAATCCCACCTAAAGAGCCCCTGTGATGGACACATAGTTGAGGAGACTGGGGTCTTCAGAAATAAGACCACTTGTCCAAGACCACACAAAGTATATGGCTGAGGTAGGGTTTGAACCCAAGCAGTGGCCTCTTACAGACCCTACCCCTTAACCCACTATATGCCTTTCACTACTGCTGCTAAAATGATAGTAAAATATGAGAGAGGGGGGCAGCAAAATGGCTTTCAAGCCTAACAGTGCAAGTTCAGACTGTGAGACCCACATGGTAGAAGCAGAATCAACCCCCCAACCTCTAGATGGGTACCATGGCACATGCCATCAATTCCAGAACTCAGGAGGCAGAGGTAGAAGGATCTTTGAGTTCGAGTCAGTCAGGGCTACACAGTGAGACCCTGTCTCAAAATAAATATATAGCTAAAAAAAAAAAAAAAATGAGGACCAATGAGATGGTTCAGTGGGTAAAGTACTTGCTGCCAAGCCTGATGACCTGAGTTCAATTCCCAAGACTCGTGTGTGGATAGTAGAAGGAAAGAACCTTCTCTGCAGGTTTTCCTCTGACCTCTGCCCTTACACATGGCAAGTATGTGCACATACACATAAAAATATTATTTAATAGTAAAAAAATTGAACTAGGAGAGACTGGGCTTCTTGCCATTGAAATCTCCCAATTTGAGAGCTGACCTTTTATATACACAATAAATTATTTGTGAAAGAGAGATACCAGGTAGTTCTTGGTGAACAATTTGTGTGAGGGAGTTCACAAGCTATCCTGTTTGGATATATTGTGGCACATACCTGGGTTTTTTGTTTTTTCCAGACAGGGTTTGTGTAGCCCTTGCTACCTTGGAACTCACTTTGTAGACCAGGCTGGCCTAGAATTTGGAGATCTGCCTGCCTCTGACACCCAAGTGCTGGGATTAATGGCATGTGCCCCCACCACCCAGTGTGGCATATACCTGTGACCCCAGCACTCAGAGTCAGGAGGATGGCTACAAGTTCAAGGCCAGACTGGTCTACATAGTGAATTCTAAGCCAGCCAAGAATATATATCTATAGAGACCCTCAAAAAGCTAAAAAATAAAATATTGCAAAGCAATGTGAGCACACTTAAGCCAGCAAACTGCATGTTTTTAAAAGGTTGAAGTTTTTAATTTTAGATATATCTTACTAAATTTTTAATTGGTTTTTGTGTTTGTTTATTTATATTTATGAGTGTTTTGCCTGAACGTATGTATGTGGACCATGTGTGTGCTTGATGGCTGTGGAGGGCAGACAGGGGCACATGAGAACAGAGGTTGTGGGCTGTGGTGTGGTTGTGGGGAGAGAGCACTGCAGCATCACACCTCATCACAAAGAATGAACTTCCCTTGTGTCAGATGACGAGTTCCAGTTACTGCAGAGGAACTTCCTGGACAAGTACTACCAGGAGTTTGAAGACACAGAAGAGAATAAACTCACCTACACCCCCATTTTTAATGAATATGTAAGTAGATCTGTTTCTCCTACCAGAAGATTAGGGTTTCTTTAAAATATGAACTTAGATCCCTTTTATATATAACTAATATATTCTATCAAGAAGTTTGGATTAGAATCAAAAGATGTTACAAAGCTTGGTAGCACGTGTAAACCAGCACTAAGGAGGCTGAGGCTGGAGGATGGCTGCAAGTTATAAGCCTGCCTGGACTACCTAGTGAATTTCAAGTCAACTTCGGTTGTTTCGCAAGATTATTTCTTTAAAAAAAAGAGTTGGAATTGGTTTACTTTTTATGAATGCCAGCACGGCCCGGAGGAATGCTGATGAATCTGGTCTAGATCACTTTGTCTTGCCGGATCTTGGAACTATTTTTAAAAGGGCATTCTTGAAGGATTTGATGAGCTTGCAACGTGTTGTTTACAACGGATTTGCCTTCCCATAGTCTTGTCCTCAGCTGTGATACCTTTCATTTGTGTGCTGTGAGAAATAAACAGCAGTGCCAGCAAGAGATGGAGGGAGAGAACGGAGTCCATAGACACTGTCCTGTGACATCCACGTGCACATTGTGGACATGATGCTCACTCATACATGCATCATACACCCAATAATGATAAATAAAATAAAAACAGGGCTGGACAAGATGGCTTCCAGAGGACTGCCGATCAGTTCCAACACCTATGTCCAGTGGCTAACAATTACCTATAACTCTAGTTCTAGAAGATCCAACACCCTCTTCTGGCTTCTGCAGGCATCTACACTCACTCATGGCGCGCGCGCACACACACACACACACACACACACACACACACACACACACACCCCATCTCAGGTGATGACTGCCCAGGATAGATGGAGGCTCTGCAAAGAAGTCTCACTTCTTCCCAGAGGGCCCAACATTCCTGTCCCCATTGTTGCAGATTTCCCTGGTAGAGAAGTACATTGAAGAGCAGCTGCTGGAACGTATCCCAGGCTTCAACATGGCGGCTTTCACAACGACACTGCAGTGAGTTGAGCTTGACTCTGGTTCTGTGCTGCCCATCTTCCTCCCCTAGACTGAAGAAAACCCACTCTCCTTTTCTTCACTGAGAGCTCTGGGTGCCTGGGTCCTGACTGGGAGGCCCTCCATGCCTTTGCAAGGCATTTTTTTTTTTTCGAAGACATTTATTTATTCGTTTTTAAATGTATGTGAGCCTGCATGAGTTTCTGTGCACCATGTGTGTGCAGGAGCATACAGAGGCCAGGAGAGGGTTTTAAGTCCTCTAGAACTGGAATTACAGGCAACTGTGAGTGGCCACTTGCATGCTGGGAACAACCCTGGGTCCTCTGCAAGAGCAGCAAGTGCTCTTAACCACTGAGCCTTCTCTCCAGCATTTTTTTTTTTTTTTTTTATTTTGAGACAGGATCTCTTACAGCCAAGGATGGCTACAAGCATGATCCTTCTGCCTCCACCCAGGAGCTGACAGGCACGCGCCCCCCCCCCCCCCCCCCAATGCCTGGCTTGTGCACCTTGAAAGGGAGTCTGTCTCCCTGTTGATTCATAAAGCCAGTACTCTGTCCTTTGCAGGCACCATAAGGATGAAGTGGCTGGTGACATCTTTGACATGCTGCTCACATTCACGGATTTTCTGGCTTTCAAGGAGATGTTCCTGTACTACAGAGCAGTAAGTTACGACTGCTCACACACTTAGCCCCAGTGAGCCACACGGGAAGTAAGAGGTGGAGCTGCAGAGACAACCACCTGGACCCTCTACCTTTTGTCCCCCTTTAAGATGGCTAGTATTAGTTGGTTAGCTTTTGAGGAATAAATAGAAGTTGCTGCTCCATGCTGCCTAGGACCTTTCTGTGTCTTGATGAAACTTGCCCAGTGTTCCCAACAAAGAGCCAGTCTCATTCTGTCTCTTTACTGTGCAGGCTCCTTTAAATTAAAACAAAGTTCAAGCAGTGAGCAGCTGCCTCACTTGTTTATGAATGTATTTATTGAGACAGTCTTACTGTTGTGTAGCCTGGAATTTGTTATGTAGACCAAGCTGGCCTCAAATTCAGAGATCCTCCTGCCTCAGTCTCCTGAGTACATGGATTAAAGGCGTGGCACTATGCCCATTCCCAGTTAGAGTCTTTTGATTGTTTGTTGAAATGGGGCTTCTCTGTGTATTCCTGGCTGTCCTGGATCTCACTCTGTAGATCAGGCTGGTCTTGAACTCACAGAGATAGGCCTGCCTCTGACTCCCACGTGCTGGGATTAAAGGCATGCGCCACCACCACCTGGCCAGTCATGTTTTTTAAACTTACTAATTTTTTGTGTGTATAAGTGTCTGCCTACATATATGTCTGTGCACTACATGCATTCCTGGTGCCCATGGAACTGAAGTTAAGAGACGGTTATGTGGGAGTCAAATCCATGTTCTCTGGAAAAGCAGCCAGTGCTTTTAACCAAGCCCTTTCTCCAGCCCCAGAAGTCATTTTTCCCCCCAGCGTGTCTAAGGCCATAGTTGAGAAAAAATGGAAATAACCTGCTGCCTGTCCCTCCTGTGTGCTTCTTGGGAGCTCCCATGCCTACCCTGCTGTCCCCACCGTTCCCCAACCCTAGTGGCTCCTGAGTTAGGAAAGCTCTTTCCATTCCTAGCATCTCAACATTTTCTGCTTTCTCCTGTAGGAAAAGGAAGGCCGAGGACTGGACTTAAGCAGCGGCTTGGTGGTAACTTCTCTGTGCAAATCCTCTTCTACACCAGCTTCCCAGAACAACCTGCGGCACTAGGTCCCACCTTCAGACATGAGTGTGATCACTATGAGGTCACCTACCCAGCCGGCTCAGAGAAACATGGGCTGCTGATGACAGATGCATCTTCATTCATGTGAAGTTTTGATGAGTCCTGGAAAACATGACCGACGCTCCTGGCCCTTGTCCAGAAACACCATGTAGTCAGTAACCTCCATGTTCATCCCTCCCGTCCCAATGCAGGCACCTCCCCCAGGTGCTTCAGAGTGACTCCTGGAGCAGGCCCCCTGTGGCCACCTGACCTGGGGGCCTCCCCCAGCAGTGTGCTAGTGTAGTGTGTCATCAGTGTGGACAACACACCCTCATGAACCCTTCATCCCGGCAGACTTCACATGAGTCCTTGTGCACCTGTTTTCACGTGGGTCAGTTTCAGTCCTCAGCCTCAATGGGGTTTTTGTTTGGGAGTGTTTATCTAGGGAGTTCCTGGGGCCAGCTGTCCTGATTTCTGAGTCTTCTGTGACTACAGCTTGCCTGGCTGTAGGAATCAATGAGAGATGTCCTCTACCCCAGTGAAAAGGAACTCCCGTCTTACATCAGCATCCTTTCCACACAGTTCTGCTGCTCTTGCTGCAGACCCATCGTTCCTCTAAGTCTCTAAGCATTCTTTTCAAGAAACATTTTTATAGATGAAAACTCAGGCTAACCTAGTGAGTATGATCTTGGAACGCCCATGATCAACCACTTCAAAGATCAAAGTATTATATGCTGTGTGCTTCTTAGTTGTGAGTGCTGCGCGTGCAAATCTGCTTTCCAATTAGTGCACCAGTGCAAACAGGCTGTATGCTAGAAACAGGCTGCAGCTCTGTCACAACAGCATGCTGAGTGTGCTTGTGCATGCTTGTCTACAGTCCTGTCACGACAGTGTGCTGGGTGTGCTTGTGCGTGCTTGTCTGCAGCCCTGTCACGAGTGTGCTAGGTGTGCTTGTGCGTGCTTGTCTGCAACCCTGTCACGAGTGTGCTAGGTGTGCTTGTGCGTGCTTGTCTGCAGTCCATTGTGCAGGCCAGTGAGCTGGGTTTGCTGTTGGGAGAGTAGGTTGTCTGCAATTTGTTCCCGTAACAGTCTCTCCTGCCAGGGTGATGCTCCCCTGATCCAGCTCCGCCTCGGGGAGGGGCAATACAGTTTTTCAGTCACCTGTCATCTTTGGTGGACTGTCACCAACCAGAAAGCGTGTGTGTCACATCTCTAGAAAGAAGAAAACGGTTCAATTCCTAATGTATACTTTTTACTTTAACTTTTATAGTAAAAATAAGAATCCACGCTGACTTCCCATGTGACCATTCTGATTTTACAGGATACAAGCTAAGCACTGTGTTTTTTCTGTAGCAATGTGTCATTTAGTGCTTTTGTAAAATGAGTAAAATTTGAGGTGTTTGGCAAGAATCATCATTACTGCATTGTCCACTTTAATGTGACTACTGTCTTCCGGTGATTGTTACTTCAGTCTTTTGAGATCAAAGGCCCTTGTGGGGCCAGCTCCGTAAATGTCACCTCTCGGGCTGGCTTCCCCTTCCTGCTCCTTTGTGAGCAGGAGTGCTCACTGCAGGCAGCATGCTGAATGCACTCGGTAAGGTTTGTTATCAGCTGGCCTGGTTGAAGAAGGCAATTGGACAAATACAGAAGCAAAATACTCTCGGGGCTGGAGAGATGCTTAAGAGCACTTGCTGTTCTTGTGGAGGACCCTGGTTGATTCCTAGCACTGACCCAGCAGCTCACACTGACTCCAGCTTCAGAGCCTCCTCAGGCACCCATGTGGTGCACAGATAGGCATGTAAACAAACACAAAAGACCCAGAAGGCAGGCAGACTACTTTGTGTCTTGGCCCACAAACTTGAGCAGATGTGAGATCCTCCCTCGGATGCTGCTGAGTCTGGTGCATCATTGGGAGGCTGCCTTCTTCCTTACCCACAGGAAAGCAGTGCCTACCTGAGCAGCAGAACCTAGCATGTCTCCCCTGAATAGGCTGTGTTGGGCCATGAGATACTTGATAGGACAGTGAGCTCTCTGGCTTGCCAGGATTTCACTTCCTCTAAGCCTCAAAATGGGCAGCTCTTCCTTGAACCCAAGCTTTCCTTGGGGCTTAATCTTGGAACAGAGATTTCAGAGTAACCAAGACAACAAGTATGAGCTGGGACCAAGAGCCAGACCTGATCCCTACTCTTAACAGTAACAAAGCCCCAAGTATTTAATTACATCTTAATTGTTGCCATTTTTTTTTAAAGGACCAAAAAGTAAAGTGTTAACGTCTAAGACTATGAATGGTAACACCTTTCCAAATAGACACTTCTATTTTATTTCAATTGTAAAAAATAATTCCAAACAAGAGTCACCACCAACCCCATGACAACTCACCAGGCAAGGCCCTGCTCCCTTCTCCCCCTCTTTGAAGTCCCCTGTGCCTAATCAGCAGCCTGGGGGAAGCACCCTGAGCTAATGCTAGCTTTCCTGGGGGAGTTTATACATGAGGGGAGAGACTTGGCAAGGCTCGCCATCATTGGAAACTGCTTGAAACCAACTGAAATAGTCCAGTCCAAAAATCCCAACTCTTCCTATGAAAGTCTCTACAGGTGACACTTTGGCTTGGGGCAGGGGAGGAGAGAGTGGGACCAGAGCAGCCTGTGGGCTTGCTTAGCTTCTCCTGGAACAAAGATAATCTGCTGTTTGTTAGGCTTATACTGCGGCAGGTCGGAGGCTGAAGATCTGTTAGTGCATTTAGTGCTGGTGAGGAGGGTGGCCCAGCCTGGGATACTGAAGTCCATGAGAGCCCACTTCCCCCGTCACCTTCTGCTGAATAAGGGGGCGTGGGAGGAGGATGTCCCCACTGCTGGTTCTTGGCAGCTCTTCTGTGCCTGCATGGGCCTGTTCCTCAGGAGTGCTAGAGAGCTTGAGTCCGGTAAGATCGGGGGTGACCCTGTGCTAAGACGCGGCCACAGCTGAGGCCACAGCGTGGCTGGCCTAAGAGTAGCCCCCAGCCATCTGACTGGTGGCCGCGTTACTGCCCACTCCTCGCCAGGCCTGGAAGCTGAAGAAAGCACTCACTCCATAGGCAATCATCACCAGGCAGGCGAAAAACTGCAGGGGAGAAGAGAAGAGGCCGAAGGGGTGGGTCAGAGGGCGCAAGGGAGCCGTGTGGGACAGTGACAGCAGACCAAGAGGGTCTCCTTAGGTGGACTTGGGGGTAAAAGCTTGAGCAGCAACCCCTTGAGTTAATCAGAAGCCCTTGTTCTGGCAGCCACACACACCACACAGCTGGCATTATGTTCTAAGGGTCAGGGGACAACCACAGGCCAGACATGTCCGGCGGTACCTGGGCAGCCAAGAGCCTCCAACTGCTCAGTGTGATGGCACTGACCATGGGGTAACCTCACACACCTAACGGGACAGAATGCCCACAGGGAACATTCAGGGCTGGGGATGTGGCCCAGCCTCAAGGCCCTGTGGTTCTAGGCCCAGAATTGAAAACAAAACAATAGAACAATAAGTAATAATACTCAAAAGGAGTTTTCTGAGCCAGTTTATGTGAATGTGTGTTTTCGGCAGCTTAGGTCTCAGTTCCCGAGAGGGAATTCACTAATTTTAAAACCTCTCTTACTAGGAAGAGGGAAGACACCAAGGGTTGCCCTGTCCTGAACATGAACACAACTCCAGTTTCCATGTCTGAAAAAGAACCCATAGCTCTAGCTCTAGGGCCAAGTGTACAGGGCCTTGAGGGTAGAGTGTGGATGGCCATTTGACACAGCCCAAGCTCGGGCTTTTTGCAAAAGAATACAAGTCAAAAATGCAGATAGAATGTAGTGATTAATAGCCACCCCAGGGGGACGTGAGTGTGGCACAGCCGAGGTCCACAGTGATCCCAAGTGTTTAGGCCCCCCGGGTTCTGCTGTTCACTAAGGAAGACTGGGTGAGGCTGAGCTCACTGAGCATCCAGTGACCACTCAGACAGGAGCCTGTGAGCACACAGAGGCCTGGACCGGTGGATCCCCTGGAGAAGGCTGGAGCCCTGGGAACATACTTACAGAGGCAGCTGAGCGCTGGTTATACGGTCGGGAGCCCTTCAGGGATGTCAGGTCGACCGCGGCAGCACACGTGATAAAGGCAGTAATATAGAGAACCGTGGCAGCGACAAAAAAGATCATTAACTGTAGGGGAGGGGAGAGAAGCTGTAAGACATCCGCAGGGACCATCACCACCCCTGAAGCTGAGTCAGAAAACCCTGCAGGAGGGCCTGGAGTGTTGGGGCAGGACAGTGCCAGGCTACTAGGCAACCTCTAACCAGCTAAGGAAATACAAGTCACTCCATGTGTGGCACGCACGTGGCCATGCCCACACCCTCCCTATGACCACCTCAGCACCTGGCCTGGTGGCTGGCCCTAGGATGGGGCCTCACATCCCTCTTCCCACCAGTGGGACTCCTTTTGGCATTACCCTAAACTTGAGGGCAAATCCCAGGGCCAGGACCTCAGGGAATCTGTATACAACATCAGGAAGACTGGATGTGAACCCTCAGGTGGCAGCTGGGCCCATTCCATACCCCCAGTTCATTCATTGTGCTATACATTTTTTCTTTAATTGCCAACATTTAAAAATTAAATTTCACATGAAAACTTAAAATTTTTTAGATTAAAAATGTTCAAGGCTTCTAAGCATGATGGTATACATCTGTCAACCCAGCACTCGGGAGGCACGGGCAGGCAGATCTCTGAGTCTGAGGTCACCCTGGTGTACAGAGCAAGTTCTAGGACAGCCAGGGCTACAAAGAAACCCTGTCTCAAAAAGCCAAACCAAATCAAAATATTCAAAGCTGGGCATAGTAACTTAGGGGCGCCAACCTGTCCAGACACAGAGGCAGGAAGACCATGAATTGCAGGGGTCAGCCCAGTCTACACATCAAAACTGTTTCCAAAAAGAAATAACCAACCTCAGGGAGGGGCGTGTATCTCCCTGGTAAAGCATTTGTGAGGCCCTGAGTTTGACCCTCCAGCACCACCAAAACAACAAACAAAATACCTCAAGGCTTGGCACCAATACTACATCCCCTCAAGGCTGAAGCTGGACAGAGGCAGCTCCTCAGAGCCAGGTACATGTAAGGTTTCTGGAACCTTCCTGGCCCAGTTCACTAGTCCATCTTGTCTGGCCCTTTCAAGATTTGGCAGTCTCTGTCCCGGAGTTGAGGTGTCATCACCCAGCTCCTCTCCCAGCTCAGCCCTCCCTGCCCTGCTGTTAAGAGTCCGGAAGCACAGATACAGAACCTAACTGGCCTCCTTCATGGAATGCTGTGCAGGAACCCATCCTGGCCTCAGAAACAAGTCTCCCACCCCGCAGGACTCTTCGTTAGGGGCCCAGGGAGATTCAGAGGGGGCTAGACCCTTATCCAGGAGTCCAGCCGCCACCTCCTCAATCCCAAATCTTGTCCCCACGGACAGTGACCACCGCACACCCTGCCTGGCTCTGGCCAGTGACACAAGATCTAACAAACCCATTCTGTCTCAGCATGACTCACGTTTCCTCTGATTAAACAGGCATTGAATTGTAAACAATCGCTGCCTAGTCCCAGCCTCGCTCTTCTTACAATCATGTGCCTCTGTGCTCACTAAAAGGCTCAAACCCAGCTGCATGGGTTTTCCGGGTTCCAGGAAAAAAAAAAAAACAGCCATTTTCTGTGTCTGGCCAGGGTGCTTCCTCTAGTCAGAGGAGGCTGGCCTGAGACAAACCTGAGGCACCCATCCTCTCCAGGGCTGCAAGCTGGAGGCAGCTGGTATCTATGCTAGCCCCCCCACCCCCACCCCAGCCAGCACTTGACACACTCAGACCTCCTAGCTCAAATTCTGACCACCCTCAAGAAGGTATAATATCTGCAATATCGGCCAGGGTATCTTGTGGACCTACTCAACAGCCCCTTGATGGTGGTCTTTCCCCAGGGCCAAAGTCAGGCACCTACTTCAACCATTAACACATCTGCCCACCCCAGCTCTTCAAGGAGCTAAGAGGCAGGAGGATCTCTACCAACTTCCCCCTACCTCACATTTCAGAAGGTCAAGGGTCATTCACAGGCAAGAGGGCTCAGCCTAGAGCCACACAGTACCCCTGCCCCAGACTCACCACCAGTGGCCAGGGCACCATGTACAATTTCATGTGCAGCTGAAACAGGTAGATGATGAAGAAGACGATTGTCACCAGCCAGAGGAAGACAGCGACGAACATGACCCAGCCATAGGCAGGATACAGGTGGTATGGAGTGTCAGCAATCAAGGCCCACACCAGCAGCCCCAGCACCTACGGAAAAAATGGAGGGAGTCTCTCATAGCCCCACAGCTCCAGCTGGAGGCCCAGGCCTTGGCAGCCTTTCTTGTTAACTCAAAAAATCTTGGGCTAGCAAGATGGCTCAAAGGATA